AAGAGTGTGATACGATTCTGTATTACCGGCAGAAGGACAGAGGATACTGCCCTGAGGGACTCCTGATGGAACTGGAGAGCGACTTGAGTGAAACCGTGGACCAAGCACTGCTGACCGCGTTCACCTAGATAGCTCTCGAACCACTGCAGAAGTTTCCCGCTGACTCCGTACCGGGAGAGTTTCAGAAGCAGCCTTTGGTGGGAGACACTGTCGAAAGCCTTTACGAGATCCAAATACACAATGTCCGACTGCAGGCTCTTATCTAGAGACTGGCCGATCTCGTGATAAAACGCCAGCAGCTGAGTGACAGTTGATCGACCCTGAAGGAAACCATGCTGTGTATTGTGAAACAAAGGACAGCGAGACTCCTCGAAGTGCTTGAATATGCATCGTTCTAATACTTTGGATACAACGCACAATAGAGAGATGGGTCTGTAGATAGTTACGTCCTCCTTTTTGCCTTTGTTATGAACAAGGACGACAAGGGCGTCTTTCCATTCGGTGGGTAGTTTACCCTCCGCAAGAGAGAAAACAGAAGGTGTTAGTTCCCTTGCACACGACTTTAGCACGATTGCAGGAAGACCGCCAGGGCCGGAGCTTTGCTCGGGTTTAAATTCAAGAGCACCTTATAGACCTCATCTTCGCACAGCGCCAAGCTGTCAAGGACGGCCATCCCCTCGTCGAGTGGCGTGAACGCATCAAGGGGTATCTCGGGCGCATACGTAGACGTAGAAGAGAAATCCTTGTTGAAGGCTTCTGCCATCTCCACTCCAGAGGAGATCTGTGGCCCTCCGTACGTAACATTAGCTGGTATACAATTTGATTTGGTTTTATGGCGGAAGTCATAAAGTCACCAAGAGAAGTGTGATACTCCTCTAACTTCCTGTTTATCAATGCCTTAGATTCTTTTCTTAAGATCTTGAACTTTTCAAGGTAAAAAGCGCTGTTGTGCTTCTTGGCGGCACGTCTAGCGGATTAATTAAACTTCCGGTAAAAGGGCAATGTAATGGGTATTTTGACCTAAGAGGGGAAACCCTCCCTCATTTGTGCAATACTAGTCAAGGCCTTTTTTCCATATTGTTCCTAATTTAATAGAAAACTTTTAGCTGTGCCGTATTGTATAGTTTTTACTCTTATATTTTTTTAGATTTTTTTTTGCCTCCTAGAGATTTACAATGTATTAAATGTATAATTCTAAATTTTCATTTTATTTTCGATTTTTTGATATATTTTTATACCCTTCTTTAAGTTACTGTAAGAGCACACACTACTCAAATCTGTCTTGCAGGAGGAGTGACTTCACTTTCTTGGGTCGGTACAAAGCACATTACATACTGATTTTATTGCAACCTGTAACAACCTGATTTGTTGCAAGACATGTTTGATTCGTGGGTGGAAACTTGTAGCCTGAGAAATAGTACTCATTTCACGACGCCACCACTCAGTGACTAGTTCCCTGCGATATGACGTCTGAGGAACGAGCGCAGAAATTCCATGCTGATGACCTTTCACTCTCCAGATCTGAGTAGAACTTCTGGTCGGCCGTCTCGCGAGGGAATTTGCTTCAACCAATAAGAAGCACTTTCCAGATCTGGGTGGTGACACGTCACCAGTATGAAATTTCTGCGCTGCTTTTTTTTAGGCGGCATTTCGCGGGAAAAACAGAATGAGTGGTGGCGTTGCGAAAGGTCGGCTGAATTGTCAGGCCACAAAACAATTCTCACGTTTCTCTTGTCCGTATTATCGTAGCTGAAGTGACTTTAGGACTTTCATTTTGTTTTATTATATCAGGTAACAGCGCTGATGCAGTAAACAATCCTGCTTGCATTGGAAAGTACAGTTTTATCCAGTTTATAGCTTCCGCTGTGTGTCACAGAAATCCACTGACGTCTGGCCGATATCTTGGAATTAAAATTACGAGAACAGAGTTTCTGACGCTTTGCGAGGTGGAAGTGTACTCACGAGGTAACGGTCTGATTCTTTAAATTTGCGTCGCTCGTAACCAACTTCCACCTCACCTGGTTTTTGGTTCAATGGACCTTTCCGCATTTTTTCAACATTTGACAAGGACTAGTTAGGGACGCCACTGGAATGAGCGTCTTAAAATTAGTAAACTCGCCAATTTTGAGGGTGATACGTCTTTAACTAGCAGCGAAAATACAGCTCCGCAAAGTTGCGAAAAATTTGCAGACGTTTTTATGGTGGGGGACGAGTTTGTTCTCCCCACTATACAAAGATCTGTAATTCTGCAACAAATCACTCTCAAACTTGGCAATTTTAATAATTTAAAGGCGTTCTTTCCTTAACTTGTCTATGTCAAAGGTTGGAAAAAACAGTGGAAAGGGTCTACTTGAGCAGAAAGAAATGGGAATAGAGGAATAATGCTTTATGAAGGTTACTTGGAGCTGTTGGTTAGGCTGGTGTCGCCCCATGTGAGGTAAACCGAATCAGTCTTGGATTCTGGATTCCACGTTGTGTATTCCGGATTCCCATTTTCAGTAGGAATCCTGAATCCCTGAGCTAAATTCCCAAATCCAAAGCCCTGGCTGGCGGATTCCAAAAGGAAAAATTTCCAGGATTCCGTAATCCGGATAATCTTACTTGTGAGGATTGGTGGCTCCTCTCTTTCTTTCTTCTTTTTTTCTGTTGACATAATTGTTCCTTGATATACAGAGAACTTGTCATTTTATTGTTAATTAGTTAATTAATTAATTAATTTTTATTTTTGAATTAAAATATATGAAATGACAGGCTGAATATCAGCCGTCCCTGCTGCGGCCCTCGAGTAACATACCCTCCAAAGGGAAGTCTGAATCAACGAGCCGATAATGCCGTCCAATGACGCTACGACTCCTCTGCTTTAATTTGCGTAAAAAGTAAACCAAAATTGGAAACTGGCAAACAAAGACGTATCACTGGGAATTAGGTCTACCTGGTACAGAATTGTTTTACTCGTCACTCATTATTTATGTTAAACGTTGAAACTGTTTAAGACGGAATCCATCAGGAAATTGAGAACAAAACAAAGAGGGGACAAAAACGTTGTACCAGAATATTTTAAGCTATATCGCATTCTTATTTTACACTTTTCAAAGGCTATAAATTTCATAAGTTATCTGAAATAATTCGAAAGGGAAGGATCTTAGGGTGCCTGTGGAAAAAAAATTAACGGCAATTGAGAAAACACAGGTAAAATCGTCATAAGTAAGATTTTGTTCGGTGGAATTTGAAGCTTTTGAAGTTTGTTTGCTCGGGTTCCCATAAAAGCCTTTTCGTTCGAGTTATTTCTTATAGAACTTATGACATTTATAGCCCTCTAAAAGTGTGAAAAAAGAATGCTAAATAATTGAAATTATTCTGGTACAAGGGTTTTGTCCACTATTAATTAAAATTTCTCAATTTCCTAATGGATTTCGTCTTAATAACTACATGAAGTATGTTGAACAAACCTTTTGCTTGTATGGCGGCCATAATTCAATAATCAAACTTGATCGCGGCCACGCAATATTGAACACACAGAGGAAGTCTCTTCCTTCAATTTGATTTAATTTAAAAGGAGCTATTTGGTCCTTAACTTAACGAACAAACAAGAAAGAAAGAAAATTAATCATTACACTTGAAGGTGGAAATGACAAGGTTTGGTAATTTGCTAGCTAGACACAAAAATCACTGCCAAAACCACAAAGCGGCTTTAAATGAAAACATACCGCCTTTTCGCATTGATTCTTCATTCGTAGTTCAATTTAACAAGTCATAATTTCGAAGACATGGGATATTTTGCTCTTTAAAGATTGTCGACATTTTGAACTTTACGCAAGCATGCGATCCGCTGAATATCACATAAAAGTTCCGCTAAAATTTCTCATAATTATACATAATTATGCAATGTTTGGACAATCAACCAATGAAAATCACTACCTGGTTTTTGGGTAATGACGTCACTGGACGGTATTAGAGACTCGTTGATTCAGACGTCCCTTATGCGACCCAAGGAGATGGCTAAAATTTAGGCTAATGAAATGAATCATATTAATTTTGAGCTGCGGATAAAGATATGAAAGTGAACATGATCTTTGTATTATTGAACAACCTCCTTGTTTCTTTGAAGAAAATTTAGCGTATCAAAAGAACACGAGTCAGTCAAGTACTTTGGGCGATAAGGGTGCTAGTGGCCACGCGGTGGATGGAGGCAGCAATACTCATTGGAATGACTGGTCATGTGCACACACGCCTAACGAAAAACAGCCCTGGTGGAGAGTAGACTTGGGAAACGTGGAGCTAGTGAATGAAGTTTACGTCGTAAACAGAGGAGACTGTTGTGGGAACAGATTGAATCCTTTCGAGATCAGAGTGGGTGAGTAAACATTTCTGATAAAGACAGTGAATATTTTGTTAGTGTGCGTGCATTTTACACTGTAGGTCAAGAGACAAATACGTACATTGAAGTGATATATTTATCTTAATAGCCAACGTTCAGAATATTAAAATTCTAACATGACTCCGAGGCTTTCTGGTCATTTTTCTATATTAAATTTAGTTTTCTTTGTGCTCAAGTCCTTTCTGGGTTTTGCGAGACAGTGGAGTCGTGAAAATTTTTTTATTTTTTGCCATAAGCCTCGGAGTCATGTTAGAATTTCAATATATCGAACGTCAGCTATTAGTATTTTCTGCAAACTGAATCGATTTTGCCATGCGATGAAAGCATTAAAAAGGTGATTTTTAGAATTAAACCAGTGTATATGTATTCTTATTCTGAAATAGCCCTTATTCACAATACCCGCCATGTTCACACACGCTTTAGGGTTGATGGGATAAAGGCAATGTCACTTGTCAATCGGATTAATGGTCGTCGAGTTTGTTTACACTGTCGAAAGGGTACGACGATTTACTCTTGCAAAATGTCCAGTTCCATCCTCGGAGACCCAGCGGCAGATAGTGAGGGCGAGGGAAAGTCTAAACGGGCGGGAAAATATGGCACGAAGAAAAGTAAAGAACGGCCAGAAGAGCCCCTGGGGACAATGTCTTACCAGACCAGTTCCAGACGGTCACCGCCGTTCTGGCTTCTGATTGGTGCCAGAAAACTTTTGTGTTTTTCTGCCCAATCAGAAGCCAGATTGGCGGCGACCGTTTGGAACTGGTCTGGTAAGACATTGTCCCCAGGGGCTCTTCTGGCCGTTCTTTACTTTTCTTCGTGCCATATTTTCCCGCCCGTTTAGACTTTCCCTTGCCTCCATTATCTGCCCCTGGGTCTCCGAGGATGGTCCCGTTCGAGTTGCGACAAGCTTTTACGCCATTTTTGATTGCTGTGAGGACATCTATGGTCACTACGTCATCTAGAAAAGAAACAATTATCCCTTCCTCTCATTATTGACCATTATCGTCTTTAAAGTGAAACGTTCTTTGTGTCGTAACGCCACTGAGCGTTATATAAACAATCATTTTTCTGTTTCGTGATTTTTTCCGCTTGAGACGTAGGTTAGTCATTTTAGAGATAGTATCTGTCAGAAATCCTTATTATTGGTCAATCTGTTACGCTCGGATTTCCTTTAGCAAAGTATAATAGTCATTTTACAATTAAAATTTGTCTTTGTGTTCTTAACGCTAAAATGTTTGAAAATCCAGACGTTTCGGGACTACTGTCCCTTCATCAGTGGAAGATGCCGTTACACTGAACGCGCGTCATTTTATTCAAATGTGGTAACATTTGAAGCGCGCGCTGGAAGAAATGATATGATGGTAGCTGTTGTGCGAGCGGGTCTTCACAACACCAGGGACAGACGTAGAGCGGAGGGTCGCCTAATTTTTAAATGCAAAACTCTACAGCAGCGCGGCATAAAAATTGACTTCAATTTTATTTGAGCGAACTCTTCCAGCGCGCGCTTCAAATGTTGAAATTAATTAGAGACGCCGTCTATAAGAAGTTCAACGACAGGATCTATCAACTCGTGACATCCACGCGACTAAAAGCCAAGGCGAAAGCCGCCGCTGCAGTGAAAAAAGTCCGAGTTGCATAAACAAAGGATTGAAATCGAATCGCGCTCAGCGCTGCTGATAGAAGAAGAAGAACTCGCCCTTGCTAGGCGTAAGAGAAACGAAAAAGGCAGGCTCGAAGCGCTACGCTTGGACGAAGAGGCAGCGATCGCGTTAGCAAAGGCTAGAGCCATCGAGGACGACTTGCAATTGTCAGGTGCCTCTGTTCACTCTCAAACGCCTTCCCTGCCAAATTTAACGCAAGTAAATCCTGAGGAACGCGTACAAAAATATTTAGATACGCACGAAGAGCCCTTTTGTCTCTCCCATGACATCACCAAAGGGGAAGATTTGCATTCGGAGCAAAAACACCACCCTGAAAACGAGCGTGGGACAAAGGGTAAACAAGAACCAGACGCAAAGCAGAAAATCCCATTTTACAGCGAGCTCAACCCAAACTCCTCACCCTTTACGCATACATCCGATCCAGTTCAAACAACCATGGGTACCTACATTGGGTTTATGGCCCGTAGAGAGCTTATATCGAACAAAATCGAAAAATTTGACGACCGCCCAGAGAATTACCACACATGGAGAGGGTCATTAGAGAATATGATCGCGGGAGTGAAGATAAGCCCCAGTGAACAGCTTTCCTTAATTATCGAGTACACCACTAACGAATCAAAACGACTTGCGCAAAGACTCCGCAATGCTTATATTGACAACCCTGGGGAAGGGTTAAAGGAAGTTTGGTGCAAATTAGGAGAGAGATTTAACTCAAACTCTGTGGTCACGCAAGTTCATCTCCAGGAAATAAACTCTATCCCCACGATAGGAGTGCAAAACAGCTTCAAGAGTTTGATGAACCTGCCTATCTGAGACCTATCGTCACCAAGCTCCCCGCCGACCTACAAGGGCAAAAACACGCATTTAAGTACAAAACACAGCAAGTGGTAGACTATCCTCCTTTCGCCGGATTTTCGCGATTTATTCAAGAAGTCGCTAAAGAAAGAAACGACTCCTACCTAAAGCTAGAAAGTTGTGATGAATCTGAGAGTTTCCATGGCATATCGACCACTAAAACTGCCGTTACAACTCCCGAAAGCCCTGAAAAAGTAAAGTCCGTCGAGAGTCCTGACAAGTGGTGTTTCCTTCACGAAAGACCTCATCCCTTACGAGTCTGTCGCGAACTAAGAAGTAGACCGTATTCTGAGCTCCCGGGACTTACTAGCACGGCGTCACATCTGTTTTCGCTGCGTTTCATCATCCAGTCACACTGCGAAAGACTGAACCTTCACCCCAAACTGCGGAATATGCCACAGCGACAGACACGTGACTGCTAGTCGACGCTAGTTGATTCAGCAAGACGGGAAAGAAGCACGGCGAGGAGCAGGAAGCTGAGACCTCCCAAAGAGCGGAGCCTCCGGACGTGACTAACTGGTGTACCGAAGCATGCGGTCAAAACACCGTTGGAATCGGCAGATCCTGTCCCAAAATATGTTTGGTTGACGTCTATGACCCGAGCGCGCCCCATGTAACGATGAGAACCTACGTTATTATAGACGACAAAAGCAATCACTCCCTGGCTAGAGCCAAACTTTTCGACAAGCTAAACATTAAAGGATCAGCCACTTCGTACACCCTCAAGACCTGTTCTGGCGTTAAACAGACCCTCGGGAGACGTGCGCATGGACTGGTAATAGAATTCTTAGACAAGCAAGTAAGGTATCAGTTGCCAACGCTAACAGAATGCGATGAGATCCCAAACAATCGAGAAGAAATTCTCACACCAGAGGTAGCATGAGCACACCCGCACCTATTTTAAATAGCAAACAAGATTCCCACACTTGATAAAGAAGCGGAGGTTCTGCTGCTTGTCGGGCGAGATATTCCCGCACTGCACAAGGTTCATGAGTCACGCAACGGACCCAGAAACGCGCCTTGGGGCCAGCGGTTGGACCTTGGTTGGGTAGTACTTGGAAATACCTGTCTCGATGGCGTCCACAAATCGGTAGCAATCTCTACTTTCAAGACCCAAGTCCTCTACAACGGTCGACCTTTGCTGTTCATCCCCTGCCCAAACCGCTTTTACCTTAAACACGATACCTCTCCAATAGCCTGGGGCGAGCAAGAAGAAAACACACCCCCCATAGGCAGCCCCTTTGACGATGGCCTAGGGCGGAACGTGTTCGTACGAACAAATCACGACAATAAGCCCGGGATTTCTACTGAGGATCGCAGGTTCCTGAAAATCATGGAGGATGGCATGGAAAAAGAATGAAAACGGAAGCTGGGAAGCTCCGCTGCCCTTCCGACACGACGTCAAGGATTTTCCCAGTATCCGAGTGAATGCTATGAAACGCCTTACGTCTACACGCCGAACCCTAGATAAAAACCCAGTTATGAAGGAACAGTATTTTATCTTCATGCAGAAGATTTTCGGTAACGATCATGCTGAAATTGTTCCACAGGAAGATCTGAGACCAGAAAAACTTTGTTGGTACCTGCCTCACTTCGGCGTATATCACCCTACGAAGAAGGACAAAATACGTGTAGTCTTCGATTCAGCTGCTGAATCTAACGGGGTGTCTCTTAACAAGCTGTTATTGTCGGGTCCTGACCTCACTAACAACCTTCTTGGGGTGCTGTTACGTTTCCGTCAGGATCCAGTCGCTCTGGTAGGCGACATGCAGCAAATGTTTCACTCTTTCAAGTTAAAAGAGGAATTGAGAGACTTCCTACGGTTTCTGTGGTACAAGGATAACGACCCAAACGGCGCGATAACGGAGTACAGAATGAAAGTTCATATCTTCGGGAACACTTCGTGACCAGCAGTAGCTAACTACGCCCTACGCAAGACTGCTGAGGTAGGAGAAGCGATGTTCGGTTCAGACGCAAAGTCGTTCGTAGACAACAATTTTTACGTAGACGATGCCCTCCATTCCGCCCCGGATTCAACCACGGCGATAGATTTGCTACGTCGCACTCAGGCCATGCTAGCCACTGCAAACCTTCGCCTGCACAAAATTGCCTCAAGTCACGCTGAAGTAATGGAAGCCTTCCCGCCTGAAGATCATGCATGTGGCCTCCACAACCTAGACTTCAACAAAGGTCCTGTTCCCATGCAGCGATTATTAGGAGTTTACTGGGACTTGCAGTCCGATTCTTTCACCTTCCAAGTGCTGCTAGAAGAAAACCCATTTACACGGCAAGGAGTTATGTCGGTTACCAACAGCCTGTATGATCCCCTGGGCCTTGCAGCACCAGTCATCGTTAAAGGAAAACACTTACTCAGACCACTCTAAAGGAATTTAGCGCCTCACACCCCGATGCCTGGGACTACCCTCAACCTGCAGAAAGGGAGGCGGAATGGAAAGAATTGTGTCATTCTCTATGAGCTCTAGAAGATATCAAAGTTCCCCGCTCTTACGGAACAGAGGCATTTTAAATGTTCCGCTCGCATTGAACTGCATACCTTCTGCGATGCCTCGGAGATGGCAATTAGCGCAGTATCATACCCAAGAATTGTCCACAACACCTGCCAGGTTCAAGTAACATTTGTGCTCGGAAAAGCCAAGTTGACACCAACGCATGCCACGACAATACCTCGCTTAGAACTTTGCGCAGCCGTTCTGGGGGTTGAGATGACTGACCTTGTCCACGAAGAACTAGAACAGAAACCTGACTCGGTGACCTGCTACTCTGACAGCGAAGTCGTTTTAGGTTACATCTCAAATGAATTCCGCCGATTTTATGTTTACGTCAGCAACCACGTGGAGCGCATTCGTCAGCTCCACACCGATGGAAGTAGGTCGCTACCAATCTGAACCCTGGAGATGTAGCTACACGATCAATCGAAGCAAGTAAATTAAAAGAGAGCACGTGGCATAAGGGTCCAAAGTTTCTGTACAACAACCTTACAACTGTCACTAACGATAGGCACACGGACGCAGAAATCTTTCCCGGCGATCCAGCGATGCGCAAAGATTCGAATGTCTTGGCTACTCACGTAGAAGTCTGTTCGACCATTGGCTCAGAGCGCTTCAGCAGGTTTTCAGAATGGTCAAAACGTCAAGGTGAAATCGCAAAGCTGATCACCGTTGCACGATCAAAGAGTGAAACACTCTCGCGGGACAATGTCACCGCCACCCAGTCTTATCATAAAGCAAAGGTTTTCATCATCAAAAGTGTCCAACGGCAAGCCTTTGGCGAAGACATTGAACGCATCAAACGCTCAGAAAAGGTTTCCAGATTGAGCGTTCTAGAGAAGCTGAGCCCCATAATAGACGGAGAAGGAATTCTTCGAGTAGGAGGAAGACTTAACCAAGCAGACCTAGCCAACGAGGAATGGAACCCCATTATCCTGCCCTAGGTCGAGCCACGTCTCACCTCTTCTGATCAGACATTACCACGAAAGAGTACAGCACCAGGGAAGAGTTCTAACGCACGGTGTACTTCGCAGAAGTGGGTACTGGATCTTGTGAGGAAAGAGATTGATTAACAGCATCATTGAGAAGTGCGTGAAATGTAAGAAATTGAGAGGTCAATGCCAGATCCAGAAAATGACCGACCTACCCGTGGACCGAATTAGTCCCGCGCCCCCGTTGAGCTATGTTTGGCTCGTTGTATTTGGCCCCCGGCAGATTTGCGCCCGGAGGACCAGAGGAGGCCTTGCTCACAGCAAACGCTGGGCCGTACTATTTGCCTGTATGTCAACCCGTGCGGTACACATTGAAGTCATTGAGTCTATGGATACTTTGAGCTTTATTAATGCACTCCGCAGATTCCTAGCTATAAGGGGACCGGTCATCCAGCTTTGCTCAGACTGCGGCACCAACTTCGTAGGAGCATGCAACGAACTTCAGGCAGTGCTAAAACCTTCCGACGCTAGCCCTGTTAAAAGATATCTGCTGAAAGAAGGTTGCGAGTGGCTATTTAATCCACGCCACGCTTCGCACACAGGCGGTACCTGGGAAAGAATGATAGGCGTGGCGAGACGAGTATTGGAAGCCATGTTAGCGGATGTCTCGCCGAAACACCTCACACACGAAGTCTTAACAACCCTGATGGCTGAGGTATCGGCTATCGCAGGAGCCCATCAAATGGAGCCTCCATCTCCCATACAAGCCCTTTGAGTCAACCCTTTCCCGAATAGATTTATAATTAGAACGGTTCCCAGGGGAGACTTCGCGTGCCGAGGGTGGGAAGAGCCAATCACAACGACGAAATGACACTGCTATTGTACTTCATCAAACAGCATGAAATTCGTTGTTGACATGCCAAACACAATCATAAGCTAGTGAAACGTGACTTTAGCGTTTTCATCCCTCAGAGATTTTCTTTATTTTTTCTTTCTAGCGGGTAGATTATACTGTGGAGAATTTTAAACTCTGACTATTTTAATCTTAATTTTGGTTGCTTGTCTCACATTAAGAGGCCATGAAGCTGGTCTGTTACATGCATAATGATTAACTACTACCTGCTGTCTGTAGTTCTAACAGGATTCGTTTTCTTTAGCCAATTTTTTTGAGCGTTAAGGTTCTTATTTCGGCTAAATGACTCAGTATTAATCAAATTTCTAGTTTTTGAAGGGTTTTTTTTTCCCGAAATGCGTTTATCTGAATAAATACTTGTAGTCTTTGTGGTTGTTTTGTCCGTCAGCTAGTGTGATGATTCCCTGCTATGTTTTGTAACGCCGGGTCCAGCCATTGTCTTCTCGCAAAGAGGTGATCTACAGATGCGAATTCGAAGGAAGGAATTGAGCCTAAACTTCTACATTAACTGCCGAGAATTGTCCTGTTAGGCAGTCATAATCCTTTTGGCGCAGATACTATCCATTTTGTTTTTCTTGAGATAAGTGGGTCTTTGGACTGGAGCGCGATGTCACAAATTCCTCCGTAAGCAAATTACTTTTGAGTTAGCTTCACGGTCGAGCAACTGTTGTCTTCTGTTCAACTTTTCAAGTGCCAGTTTTATCAGGTAACTCTCATGGTGATACAACTCAGTTGTAAAGGAACACTGCAATTTCTCAAATTTCGGAGCTGAAGCATTCCTCGTTAGTTGCTACTTAGGTCATCGCTTTTGCACGCGGTTCTTAACTGGCGAAATCCACTCCACGGTGATGACAAAAATCAAATGATCCTGGCACTTTTGCGGCGCTGATCATCGAAAGATTCCAAATCGTCCACAGAACGCATAATCGTCGGCTCTTTTCAAGGTGCATGCTTAAATGTGGGGTGTATGACAGCAAAAAAAAAAAAAAAAAAACACTCGCAAAGATAACCTTTCCGTGATCCTCAGTTCGCTGCCTTTGTCCCATCGCTTCATGCTCAGTCTCAGTCGGGTAATTCATTAACTTTTATTTCATGAAACCCAGATCCCAGCGGCTGTAAGATTGTAAAAATGGACGAAAAGGAAAAAAGGAAGACGGTCGAAGGATGGGCTTCTGAGTTCGACTTCATCAAATTTTATTTTTTCACGGTGACACACGAGACTCACGGAAATATGACACTTTTCGCGGGAAACTAGCCGTTCTATTTATAAATCTACTCGGGAAAGGGTTGACTCAAGAAATTAATGGAGATGGAGGCTCCATTTGATGGGCTCCTGGCTATCGTCAATGCTAGGCCGCTCCTTTCAGTCTCCAACGATCCAGACGCGCCTGAAGTTTTGACCCCAGCGACATTGCTGACTCATAAGCCGCAACACCTGAAACCACCAGTTGGGGAATTCAGTGCTGCAAACCTGTCACACAAACAATGGAAACGCGTCCAATACCTAGCCGATGTTTTCTGGTAGCGATGGAGGAGAGAGTACCTTCCAACGCTGCAACCGCGTAGAAAGTGGCAAGACCCGACCCGCAACGTGCAGAAGGGCGACTTAGTCATTCTCCGCTGCAAAGACGCCCCGAGGAACGACTGGCCCTTCGCCAGAGTCACCAGAGCTCAAGCCGACAGTGACGGAATGGTGCGCAGGGTGGACTTAGTAACCGTTCGTGGAGGGTCAAGGAGGCATTATAAACGCCCAGTTACAGAAACCATCCTGCTGCCGTCAGAGACCCAATGAATCCAGCTGGATCACTGACACTTTTCCCTCTTTATTTTATTTTATTTTAGTCAGTAGTGGTATTCTTGAATACCAGGCGAGGAGTGTGCCGTCACGCCACTGAACGTTATATAAACAATCATTTTTCTGTTTCGTGATTATTTCCGCTTGAGACGTAGGTTAGTCATTTTAGACAGAGTATCTGTCAGAAATCCTTATTATTGGTCAATCTGTTACGCCTTGATTTCCTTTAGCAAAGTAGAATAGTCATTGTCTTATTTACTTGCCTATGTAAGTTCTTTCCTTTTTTACCTTATAAAAAGTAATTTCAACTTCGCTGGTTATGCTGCCCTATCTCGGCCAAGACCAAATATCGGTCGAGGTAGCGGAACATTCTTCGTTTTCTGTTTTCTAGAATGAACAAACTCGACCGTGATTTCTTGCCCTCTGTGAAACTACGTGACATTGCTTTTATCCTATCAGTCCTTACGCTACGGACAAACGGATGCAACAACTCCCAACAGTGTTGCGTCCGTTTGCTTGGGGCTGAAAGTTTTGCTGGTTTAAAACTTTGCACAAGAACTCCCAACAACACGCAACAACATGCAACAGGCTGTGCAAACGACGCAGCATGTACCATCCAACAATTTTGGGAGTTGTTGGCCAACAACGCAAAGATAGCGAGTATCGTGAATAACGTCTTTACGGCCAATCTGTACATTTGTATTTTAGGAGTAAATTCGAGTAACGGAGGTATCACCAATCCAAAGTGTGGGGATGGCTATAGCGTTCCTCAAAATCAGGGTGCCTCGTTCTTCTGTCGCCCAAGTTTGTACGGAAGATACGTCACCATACGAAGACATGATGAAAGGACAGCCGCACTAACTTTATGCGAAGTTGAAGTTTATTCCGCACGAAGAGGTAGAGAACCATCCTGGATTAGTGTAATGCACTATGCTTTGGTATTTACATAGGATAGAGCAAAAATATTGTGCGTAGTTTTTTTCAGATTTTTTTTTTAATACTTAAAAGACAAAGAAATTATAAGCGAATCTTTGTTTACATTTTTGCTTCATTAACATATGGCTATCATTGTTTGATGAAGCTAGTGAAATAAAATCTCTGATCAAAAGACCGTACCAAAATTTGAGCCCCATTAATCGAATAACTTTGGTGAAATTATCGTTAAAAACTCGAATTTTTACAAAGAATACGTGAGCTCAAATAGTAAACATTTTTGCCACCCAGCAATTTCGCCGATTTTGATTGCTGCTATTTCCTTTTTTAATACTTGCAAAGAGCTAAAAATTGCACAAACTACAAATAATATAAGCAATGACGTCAATATGGGAAAAAAACCAAAAAACAAACAAGCAAGCAAACTGAGAAACAAACATGTAGTACTCACATGTCAACGATCAGTCAGGAACCAATTTCATTCTTATGCTCGGATATGGCTATCCGGAATTATTTTGCCCGGCAGTAAAACAGCACAATATAGGTGCAGACATATTTAAAAAATAGTTTTATTTACTATGTAAATGTTCTCTCTGTCTCACGGATCCTGACAGATTAGAAGTACTGAAATTAAGATATACCCAGGTCAGTGTACAGGCCGCCCTGTAACATTTGAACGAACAGGATCGAAACAGAAGGGCTGTCAAAAAGGTTTTAAGTAGCAGGCTGATAATGAATCGTAGGTGGCTTTGGAACTCGCACCAAAGGCACAAGTTCTTGACGGCCGAGGCGCCTAGGGACATTTTGAAATTTAGTGTCTCGGAAATGGCATTTCCAGGGCTTTTCAAGAGGAATTTTCCACCGCGGACGCCATTTTTTTTTGTCAGAATACACGCAAGACTAAGAATAATGTCGTTGAAATGTCCCAGGCGTTCCACGACATCGCACGGTTCGAACATTTCACAGATATAAACCTGTTTAAATATGCGTTCATTGTCATTCAAAACTGTCGAACGTATGCTTTACAATTTTATCCGATGGTGCCTATTTTTTGTCAGCAGTTATGGTAGGAGGAGATGAAAATAGCTGGCGAAGGATGGCTAACTAGCTGGGGGTTTGGCGGGCTACCGGCCCTGGTTGACAGCCCTGAACACAGGGTCTCCTAAATACATTGAAAACACTTTTTGGGCTATCCAGAGTAATTTTAGATCTCTAGAAATGCATTCTTAAATTTGTATCTGTTCGGTCATCCTAGGGCAACTTAAATCTTTTCATAATTATTAAGGCTTCAGTATTACTTTCCCGAAAACTTTAGATGTAATTTAACGTTTTACGAAAGTTAGAATTTTTCTAATTCCTCTCTTCATGGCACTTTTGAATCAGAAAATTTTAGGCTTCCTTTTTACACGATAAATAGCTAAACCTGGGGAGTGAAATGTGAATTGATTAAACTTAAGAAAATCCTAGGGAATTTGTTAGGTAAGCTTCGAAAATTGTACATGAATGGAACAGTCACCTAGAAATTTTAGCCGTCCTCAAGAAATAGAAAATTTTAGTCAATGTTTGCTTCTCCGAACAGATATTTTACAGAAAACAGTCGTTGGGTGCCCCTGTGAACAGAAACAAAATTGTCTCCTTGTCCCAAACGAAAGCTAAAAATTTGTTTAGGTCAAGGGAATCGAATCAATTGAGCTTCAGTGCTCAACATAAACTGCAGGAGTTGCTAATTAATTAAACAAAGCTGAAAGTGGCTACGTCACGCTGTTTCCTATCTTCTTCAAAAGGTAAAACAAAAAAAAATAACGCTCCAGCGTTGTTATTCAAGGCTTTTAATTTAAATTTCTGCAATTTGATTGGCTCAAAGCAGTGGTATTTCAGCTTAATTTGAAATATCTACATGTGAAAACTACAAAACATTTGCGGGTAGTAGTATAAACAAATAATAGCATAATTTGTACGTGATATTTGGCATAAATACCACTCGTGATATTTCAAAATTGTCTCAAATTTCAGTCGCCTAACGGCTCGTGAAATTACGTATAACAATTTCGAAATGTCACTCGTGGTATTTATGCTAAATATCTCTACCAATCGTGCCATTACCTATACAACTTTTTCAAGTTTTAATACTAATGCCTGCAAAAGTCACCGAAAACATTATTATGGTTGGTGCTCCCTGATGGAATTTGTTGAATGAATGAATTAAGAGTCGTAGATGAGAGGACAACAGACGTGCCCTCTTACAATATATTTTAACATGTGAACAGTAACCTCGGACGTCAGTACATATATGATATATATGAAATCTTCTTCATGACTCTACAGTGTGTACAGGGTTCTATCTAGGATTTATCGTTTGGGGGAGAAGTCCTGAGTGGCCGAAGGCTACGAGTTTCCTAGGGGGATCCGTGGGCATTTCCCACCCGGAAATGTTTTCAAATAAATATGTACTGAGCCTGAGATGCAATTTGGTTCATCTTGAGCCACAGTTTTAAGAAATTTTACGGTGTGTGCACTGGCCTGGTCGCGTCTGGATTTTTTTTCCGATATAGTTACTTATAGACTGTGATGATAAAAATATTTTTGGGGCGGCGGGGAGCTGGGTATTTTTTTTGGGGGGAAGCTTCTACGCCTTAAATACCCTAGATAGAACCCTGGTGTATGGTTAAAGGTACTAAATGTTGGCCTGTACACAGACGTTATTTCATTTTTCTTTTCGTTCTTTTGGAAAACATCGGCGTGTGCTAGAGGGAGACACCCCTTTGTGCTGCTGGTCAATAAATCCCCCGCGGTTTATTTTTTATCACGCGCGCTCGACGGACTTTGAAGAGAAAATAGAGGGTTTGTGAACAGGCTAAGTGTAAGCACATCACCATTTTGTGCCGGTCTAAACCCAGGCGATTACGCCTTGAAATACTATTGATAGATCGACTAGACCCTTAATTTAAAAACTACAACAACAACAACTTTCGATATTTAAAGAGGATATGTCAAGAGATTCTGTTGTTTTAGGTCAATGCTGTTTTGAAGTCACAAAGCAGTGGATTGCCCCGGGGCTAACAGAAACGTTGTGTACACAGGAACCGGTGCCCACTTTAGTGCCCGAGTACAAGGTCTTGAACTACGGGAACGCTGCCTTTAAAGAGCTGTGTCATGGCTGTTTACTTCCTTTTGTTTTAAATGCCAGTTACGCGTCGTTGTTCGCTGTGAAACTCGAATTACCTTAAATTACCTTTAAGTGACAAAATCACAGTTTTGTGTCAAACAAATTATGCCTCCCAAGCATCATATCGATCGTTACAAACAACAATAACTGAACAAGTTTGCAAAAATCACAATTTCTATCCCAGTCAATGTTCTTCAAGTTTGCTCATCCGTTCTTTTTGTGGCGTTACTTTGTCATTTATAACTTCTACCTTTTTTTAGCAGTTATTTCTCATTAATGTTTCTCTCAATTTGGTGGGGCTACCCAGCGTTTGAATTTTGATAAATTTCGTGACATAGCTCCTTTAATCAGAGTCTTAAATTCTTGAAAGAGTCTTGAAGTTTGCAGTTGAGAGCAATTTTACAGACCTGAAAAGCGTCTGGAAAATAGAGTTTAAGTCTGGAAAAAAGTTTGGGTGCTTTTTCTCTTTTTGAAAGGTACATAAAGTGCTTAATAAGTGTTTTTTTTTTCCGTGGTCAACAACCTCGTCCCCAGGGCGCTTTTCTCTGGCTTTGGAGGTGGGGCGTGGTCAAATCCTATTCAATCTCGCTCGTAGCCAAGACATTCAATAACAGAATTTCTCATATGTCTGCACTGCACCGTGGTTACTGTACGTTAGCGGTGCGTCATGAAAAATGTTTGAATCCTGCGTTTTTCAAGGTCTCCATCGATCATCTACAGTCGAACCCCCATGTGCGACCACCTCCCGCAAGCGACCACTTGACGCATACTCTGATCTCTATGTTCGCTGTGTGCACCATGCTACTTAGAATATAGTGACAGCACGGAACTACACATGGCGTAACTTAGACATTGCATGCATTAAATATCTTCTATAAAGTACATGTGTCTGGACCTCTTCTTGGATGAGGCCCCATGTGCCTCGATTCTTGTAAGCGACTACCTCCCGCAAGCGACCACTTAGTCTGTTCGACTGTATTTGATAACCTTGAGTCTGGAAAACAAACTATTGGTTTGGAATTATGTCTGGTAAAGTCTTGAATTTTGGATCCAAAAATTAGTACGAGCTCTTGTTAATGTACAGAGAGCTTTACCGTAATTAGAACCAACCTTGGGAAGCAAATCCCCACCCCCTCGAAAATTGCCTTCTCTTGGACCTTCTCTCCCCTCGGAATTCCCGTTTCCCTCCGTGGAGGGGGGTGGGGATAAGGATATTTTCTGGAACTACACATTACAGTTTTTTCGGTGATTATTCTAGGCACCGCATTACAACTTGAAAAACTTGGCCAAACATTGTCAAGCTTTAGTTTACGTCCACTTTTGCCATCCGTTGCAGTAGAAGACAGGAAGAGTTTCAGTGCCTGAATACAGCCCTGAATAAAAATGGACCATTAATCTTTGAATTAAATTGAGCGAGGACACTTTTAAACATATGAAAAACACAGCAAAGAAAATCTTGAACATGATACTTACTTAGGGACGATATAACAGAAAAAAATCTATTCACTCTTGTCCTGGTAAGGTTCAATCAACGTATGATTAAGTTATAAATATCCTTTTTTAGCGTGCCAAATCCAGGCCATCGGTCTGGCCAGCAGTGACGCTATCCCAGACAACAGCTTCTCTGCCACGACTGATCGTTCTGGTAATGAAGCTTCCAAGGGTCGTCTAAACGGAGATGGCGCCTGGTCACCTAGCAGTAATGATGATGCCAACGACTACTTACAAATTGACCTGAAAGACCAGTTCTTCATCTGCGCCGTGGCCACTCAAGGTAGTTCAAGCGACGATCACTGGACAACAATGTACAAATTAAGTTATTCGCTGGAGAACTCGATTTGGCTTACTTATCAAGAAAACGACGTTGACAAGGTGTGTTTGGACAACCTGAAGTAAACTTGCAACGTAATTTACCTTGTCTCGCGGCGTCCATTTTGTCTGAGGAGATTTAAAAAGCTTTGTTTATGTACGGCTAGCCTCGATCTCTCTACGAGTCTAGCCGTGCATAAACAAAGCTTTTTAAATCTCCTGAGACAAAATGGCCGCGGCTTGACAACGGTCTATTAGGACCACGTAATAGGCCATTTCCAAGTTGCCATTAAGCCTTGGTTTCAAATTGAGGCTAAGTGCAAAACCAATGTAGTAAAAATCATTTTCTCAATAAAAATTTTGCGCGTAGTCTCGTTTTGAAGGTGAGAGTTTTGGAACTCGGACGTTTAACTGAAAGTGATAAAATATTTACATTAGTGGAACAGGATGTATTATGGGCAGTTTGAAGAAAAGTAAATTGAATAGATTTATTTTATATAAAAATACAAGAATAAAATTTGCTGCGGTTACACGAGACAAATTTTTCTAGGTTAACTGATGTTAGGTTTACTAAACTAAAAGGTGGATTTCCACTGTTGGGTAACTTTAACGTGCGTAAATAAAATAGAGGCAATGTATGGAAGAGACATACAAAAAAGCGCTAAAAGTCCAAATTTTGAGTGAAGTTGCACTTATACAGGTGGTGAAAAAACGGGTTAGTTTTTAAGATCGCAAGAACGAAAATCCATCAAAATTTCCTGGCATCGAAATATGATATTAAGCAGCATTCCGACGCTACTTAAGAACATGGATAATAGAAAGACTGGATAGGAAACTGGCTGACGTGATCGGTTCCAACATAGTGAAAAATGTGACGGCACATTATCGAGAGCCATTCAACCTCTTACATCCGATGTTTTGCGCGTCTTTAATTAATCCTGGCATATTGCCCAGATTGGCCATGTTTTGAAGTAAAGGATGAAGAGTACTTGTTCTTGGCGAAGACAGTTTGAGGGTAAAAAAGCGGTAGAGGCAAAAGACTGAGTAAATGATAATGAAACTTGTGAGAGCGAAGAATGACTCCAGCGCCCGATAATTTTATGCACCAAACGAGAAGCCTAACTACATAAAAACTATGCGAAAACTGACATGTATACAGCTACAAAACACCTATAAAAATGCACAGCCTAATTTTCTACAAACCACAAGAAAACCGGGAAGAATTTTAATTATTTTTGTCACGGTTTTGATTTCTCTTTTGCTTTTATACAAGCTCAGTGAGTGTCGAATTTTACAAGTTAACAACTGACTCTTGGCAAAATGATTTTATTAGCGGTAAAACTGTCGAGGCTTGATGTTTCAAGTGCCCAGCTCAAACGAGGGTTTAATTTTCCATTCAAATTTATTGACGGACAATCAGTGACCAGAAGCCGTAGTTGAGAACTGTATAAAACATGGTAAAAAGCGGGGATAAAAAGCTCAGCATAGAAAGAAAATTTGCTTGTGGACCACCGCGGAAACGCTGTTTCTACTTTCTCAAATCAATTTTCATAGTAAAGCGGCAAGTTCTTTTGTTATTTTCAGGTATAAATGTACCATTACCCAAGGTAATTTTCAGTCAGGTCTTTGAAAAAGCGAACTTCAACGCTTTTAAAAATGTTATGTAAAACGGTTAATTGTTAACCACTAGAATACAGCTGGGAAGCAAACTCATGATTAATAGTAGGCCCTTCACTTCTTTTTCATGACGAACACTTGTCTTCCACTGATAAGGCTTATAAAGCTTAGAAATATATTTATTCTTTGAAATACTGACCTCTTTTTAGGATGAAACAACCTTTAAGTTTTTGTGTTGTAGTCTCAATGAAATCACCTCTGAAAATTAAACATTAACACTGTTCCCAAAGAAAATAGAAGCTGATTATTAAAAAAAAATAAATCAAAAAAGTAACATCCAGGATTTTTGTTTAGCCTGAGGTAAGTGGATAAGGGCTTGAAAAAATATGACTGTCTGGTCACATTATTATGTTGCTGAAAACAAAATTCATACCCCAAACAAGTACAGGTATATGTTTTACTAATTTGATTTAGAATATACCTTGGTAAGGTTTATCATCTACAGGTACATTGTTGCTTTGGATCTCTAAAAGAACCGAGTACAAAAATAGTGCTAATCAAGTCCATGTTTGGTTTGAAAAACAATGCGACTCAGATTTAGACTGCTTCAGAGAAAAACACTAACCAAATCTAAAACACATTACTCTGTAGCTAATACATGCAGTGACCCTCGCACACAATTAATTTGTCCCAGTCAGAAAGGAGTAGCTAACACTCTTCAGATGTGATGAATAAAGCTTAAAGCACCTTCTGATCAGAAATAAATGATATGCCACCTTCTGGCTCTCATGCATGACAAAAGTATAAACTTTTGTTGCTGTTTTATAAGAAAGATTCATTGATTTGTGCCTCTCAGAAGAGTACTTGACCCTGCTTGACCACAGTTTACTGTCTTCACTGATTAAATGTGTTCAGCAAATCATACAAAAAAAAAAAACAAACACAAGGAAAACTAAAATACTGTTTACAAAATAACAACAAGACTTAGGAGCCTAAACGGAGGCCAAAAAAAGTCAGTAGATGTAGTTTATATTTATGTAGTTTATGTACCAAAAAAATATTCGAGTCTCTTCAGTGCCTTCGAATACAAGCTGCGAGGAGCGACGTGAGGCGATTGTAAATAAAAATAAAAAAAATAATAATCATCTTTATTGAGGAAACTTTTTCATAAAAGATATGGTTTTCGAAAAGGATCTCAAAACTAGATATATATTATAAAAACAAAAAAAGCTATAAAATTGTAAAGGGATTAAAAAGATATAAAAAATGCATAAAAAGTTAAAAATAAGTATAAGTAAAAATTAAACGTAAGTAGCTATATGAAAAACTTAAAAACATTACGTTTAAAACTATTTACATTCCTTGAGTCTTTGATCGTCTGACTGAGGGAGTTAAAATCGGAAACGGCATGATATTGTGTTCTTTGCTTCCCCCAATTTCTTTTGACACGTGGTAATCTAAAATTGCCTTTGTTACGTGTATTATGCCTATGAAGTACTTCTTGTCTAATCAAGTCCATGTCGTGATTAATTAGGCCATTGATGCATTTGTATACGTGTACACACCTTCTTTGAAATCGCCTTTTCTCTAGAGGCAGCCACTTGAGAACGGCTAATGCCTCAGTGGAGGATGAGTACAATGGTCTATTTAAAATAACTTTAGCGGCCTTATTTTGCAAAACTTGCAAACTAGACATAAGGGTAATATTATGTTTATCGCCCCATACTAGATCAGCATATTCAAAAAGGGGCATAACAAGACTTTTATAGAAAAGTAGACGCGCCCTGAAAGGCAATAAATGCTTTATACGCTTGAGAAGCCAAAGCCTCTGATTGATTTTCCCAGTTAGGTGTTCAATATGATCAGTCCATGTGAAATCCGAAGATATATGTATACCGAGGTATTTAAAGCTGCGAACATTACTTATACTAAGATCTAAAATTGAAACAGTCAAATCTACTTTGCTTTCGCGTTTCCTATTACTACCGATAAGCATGCATTTAGTTTTGTCCACATTTAAAGTCAGTTTGTGATCATGAAGCCATTTCGCCACACCCAGTAGATCGAACTTATCACTCAACTCCTTTGAGGATGTACCATAGCAATAAATTACAGTGTCGTCTGCATAAAGTGACGCGTAGCAGGAGTTAAGCACATTTGGCAAGTTATTTATGTAAATCACAAACAACAGAGGCCCTAGAATGCTACCCTGTGGCACCCCATGCGTGACTGGAAGTTCCTCAGATAACTCATTTCCACATGATGTGCGCTGTTGTCTACCAGTTAAGTAAGAACGGAACCAATGAAGAGCTGTTTCAGAAAGGCCGATCTCGGATAGCTTGCATAACATTTTTATTTGATGGTCTACCGAGTCAAATGCCTTGGTTAGATCGATGAACATGGCCCCGCAAAGCTTTCCTTGTTCCATGTTTAAGAGCACTTCATCAGCAAATGAGGTCAAAGCTGTTGTATTCACTGGATATGTAATCTAGAAGTTATATTCATACATTAAAAGATGAGCGAAATTAACGTACTGCTTTACGAACAATTAGCAGGGTTAATCTAGGATATTACTTGAGCGAAGCAGTTCTCAACACAAACAAGTCGGCCGACTGGAACATTGCACACCGTGTGCGTACACTTGTTCGGCGCTAGCTCCTAATGTAGTTAATTTCGGTCATTTTCAATCGAAATGTACGGCTGGAAAATAACAGTAATCAGTCTGTAACTATGCCTATGCCACAATTCTATCCTAAAACATCTGTCAATCGTTGTTTTGAATAGAAACAAGAAGGAACTTTCTAAATAAAGGCGTCCCAAAATAGTCGACAAGTCTAGTAAATATGGCTCTGTAAGGTCAATTTTTGGGACGAAATTTTCTCAAAGACAAGGACAAATAACACAAAACAACAACAACAAGTGCTTACCTCGAAGGTCCAAGTGTGGCTTTGAAGGGTCGCCATCGCCGTAAGACAACAAACGAAAGGGAAAAATATACACCAAAAATTAAAGTAGCACTAAAAACTCCGAAAAAGAACAACATGCAGGGAAACAAACCCTACATTTCGACTGGTTTGCGCCACATTTTCGCCATCGTTTCGTCACAAATTTCCACTATGATGGAACCAGTCAACGCCATCTTGAAGCACGAACCAGCCAATCGGTGATTAGAAATCAGCCCACGTGACATAAGTTTCCTATCCAGTCTTTCTATTATCCATGTTAAGAATAATTTGAGTCATTTATAACGTTTTTATTAAACAAGCTATCACGGCTATTGAAAATTTAAGGTTTCAAATATATTTTCGTTTTAGTCGAATTCAAACGTACAGAATTTTTTACTTCTTACGGAGGTTATTTGCTAAACACCAAACTTTAAGTTCCTAGTGTTGGATTTTCAGTAGCTGGTCTAGATCGCGCAAAATAAGGCGTTTATCAATTTCAAAGTTTTTTGTTTATTGTTGTCATAGTAATATCAATTTTACTAAAACCTACATTTTCAAATTTCAATCTATAGTCAATCATTGGTGAACATTTTATAGCGATCAGACAAGGGTAAAATCACTTTTAATATCGGTATGGCCTCTGAAGAACTCTATCGAAACACCTTAACTTTTACGTGTATGCGTGGCCTTTCAAACAATAGTAGCTATGCTTCAGCAAAGATAAGCCTCGTTGGTATCTAGCAAGGTCTGGCTAGGTCTAGTCAATGACGTCACCCATTGTTATAACCTAGGGAAAAAAAAAGTGCCTTCCTCCATACTAATTAAGTGCCTAGTCACTGCCTTCCTCCATATTAATTAAGTGCCTAGTCAGTGTCTTCCTGCGTACTAATTAAGTGCCTTCCTCCATATATAATGAAGTGGATAGGTTTACTATTGAGCGTCACTCTACTACAATAGGAACAATAGGCTTGCCTCGGCTTGCCCGTTAAGTAACTTGAACCCGGTTTTCAGACCGTCTATCAGAAGGAAAATAGGAATAAGAGAAGCGATCACCTAGCAACTCGAGAAACGGCTTCCTATATCTTATTTAGCGCTAAAACTCAGATATACACCTATTTCAATTAAGGTTGCTTCGGCGAAGAATGATTCATGATGCATGATCCATGTTTCATAGCCTGCAGTGCATTGTGGTAGATCTCTTTGTAGGCGGGAAGTTTAACTTCGTGTATTCCTGTGCGCAGTAACCCGCGAAATGGAGACAATAAACATCTGTCTCAAAATCCTAACGGAAAATAAGAAAGCGGTGAAAGAAAGTTTCCAGTTAAAACAAATTCCAAAATTTGCAAGTGCCGTTGAGCTAAAGAATTATATTGTAAGCGAGAAAGTCAAAGCTGCCAACGTGGAAAGCATGGAAATAGGCTACTACGGCCCTCCGAGAGGTACTCGCTTTGCCATTATTGATGAAACTACCCTGGCTGAGGCGTATTCCACCGAAAAGCAAGAGTGGGTAGTGATATAGGTATGGACCCCACCAGATGAAGTGGCCAACAAACGTCAAAGTCAAAGTTCCAAGGCAGTGGCCAGCAGCAACGCTAAAAGATTGCGCCTATCAAGTAGGTGTTAAGAACCTATTTTCCTTTAATATCCGTTTGCATTGCTAGTTTTTGTTCGTTGGTTTTCCGTTTATCTGCATGCCTTTTAAATTTTAAGGTGAACAGCACGATGGGGAGGACGACTTTTCAGACATCTACAAAAGACTGGTGGAAAAACATGGCTCGGAATTGCCCGATTTTAAGCTCCGAGTGTGGGCCAGGATGCTGGTAAGTGCAATAAAACAAACCAGTCACCTTCTGATGTCAACCTTTCAGCTCTAAAAATACTAAATAAACTCGTAATGTAAAGTTGTTTATTATAGTACGACTTGTACACAAGCCTAATAAATGCAGATGGAACGAAGGGTGGCGAAAAGGGCTGCCGAAATGTTGCATAAAAAGTGGATTCGCGCTCTGACTATTAATCTTTATCGCGATTATTCCAGTTCTCTTACTTCGGTAAAAGTAGGCGAACTGTTCTTAGAGTTCAACTCCTAAGAACCTTATTCAGGTTAAGAAAGAGAAAGAACATTTTGCCGTCGCTTGCTTACGTACTCTACAAAACGTTAAATTTAGCATTTTGACCTCGTAGTCGTGCAGTGAAGGCAAAGAAATGTACAAAAAAACGTGATGCACGTGCAGAGTTGTTATTTTGCTAATCACTGAACCTATTGTTTTGTTTTTCATTCTTGTTACCTGATGTGCGAGAAAAAGAAGATTCGTTGAAAATTGGCTTAAATTTGCTTATTTACACAGGGCAAAACCTGGACTTAAATCTGGCAGTAAAAATGGCTTTAGGAATGGCTTCAGCATTAGTAGTTTGAAATTTCTGCAGGACCAATTAGCTTTTTCTGATGGAAAAATTTTTGTGGTTTACAAGATGCTTGTCATTTGTACATTCCGATCTTTTGGCAGGCAAATAAAGTGTAGAGCAGCGAAGAAGAATGTCCTCAGCATTCGTTTTTTATGGGCAAAAAGCCGAAGCAACAGCAGGAGCCTGCGGCACACACCGCAAACCAGAACAAGGTGAAGTATTACCCAAGAGTCACGGCCTAAGGAATTTTGGGGGGGGGGGGGGGGGGATAAGATCCACAAATATTGAAAAAGGTGTCGTGAATTAAATAGGTTAGGAATACGATTATGATAAAATCCCCCCTCCCCCATAAACTGAGAAACCTTTAACCGAATGTATTGCTTTTGCCTATTTCAAGAATTATAAATTAGGAATTTACGTCTTCTTTTTCAGGTGCAGCTTCGTTGAGAAATCCTAAGACAGTTACGGGAACTGAAAGATTTAAAGGATGCTGATGCCTTGGACTCCACACAATTTGAGAATCAGAAGCGTATCCTGTTAACGGAGCTGAATGGGCTCCAGTAAACAGGCATAATCCTGCGCTTCATTACATTGTTTTGTTATACCGTGAAATCAATAATTCTGGCAACGATTGCTAATATTAAAACCAAATTAATGTCGGGAAAGTTAAAAACACAGAAGAGAACACAATTTTGTTTTTGTGGGTGTAATAATCATGAATAATAAAAATCGTGAAATTACGTGAAAAAACTGGGCTTTTATTAATGTCAATTGTTCACAGCCTGGCCTAAATCTTGCCAGTTTGATAAGGGAGGGTTAATATGCATAGTGGCTTGTCGTAGCCGTTGGGCCACTGAGGCAAGAGGACGGGACCCGCTTAAGTACAAATTAAGCACTGCAGGCCTAAAAAATAGGTACTAGTGGGCTAACAGGTCAGTTTAAGGGCTGGTTGACTAATTACGTCCCTGTAGAGTGCATGTTAGTTTACAGATATTCTGAGTGTCGAATGTAGTTTCGCACTTGCTCGTCGAAAACACTTAAAAATCCTTCCATGACCATGTTTTCGGGTTGATCACACATTCGCCATTCTTGATCATTTTCTCTGATCCACGACTTCACTTGCGAAATTATTCCCTCACACGGCATGAAGTCAGGGCTGTATGGAGGGAGGTAGACGAGTAGGGCACCAGTGGCGTTTATCGCCCTCACAACGTCGGCAGTATGGTGAATCGCAGCATTATCTGTTTTCAAAATAAAAACAGAAAGGATAAGGTTAATAACTGAACGCTTGTTTTCAATGCATCTGCGCCTGGCCGATTTCCTTCTACCAAAATTACAGCTAACGCCTGTTTAACGTTCATTTTCCACTTGTTATTGAACAGGGTATTGAGCTTGGTATCTCTGTAATGATTCTTAAGTGGACTGGCTGCTTTTGTGAGATAATAATCACTATATAAAAGTATAAAGAATAGTAAGCTATCAGTGTGCATGGTTAATTGAGCCTATACATCTTTTTCCAAAGAACAATGAACTTACCCATTACAACGATCGAGCGCAGATTGATCCCGTTAAAAGGATTGACATTAGGGGCCAAGTGGTCATGAACAAAATCCAAGAAGACATCACTGTTAACATTTCCGCGATAGATCCCTACATCAAGGAGGCCTTCTGTTGAAGCGATGGGAATGGCTGAAATACGTGGACCCCAATTAGCATGAGGCCGCACTACCTCCGCCCGCATTCCGCGAAAACTTCGGCCGTACTTTCTGCTGATCCGCTTGTCCTATGAATAACCAAAATAACCCAAACATGCCTTATTCATCAACGTTACGCATTGGGAAAGCGATTCTCAGGGTTTCGTTATCTTACAGAAATGCAAGTCAAATGGACCTTTTCGGCTTGTATGTTTTGTTTTCTCAATGCAGACGTCGAGCTGTTCTCAAGAGAATTTGCATTTTGTCGTCTCATAAATTATGCTTTCATGTGTTGAACACACGCAGATAGGATGATACAAGGTTAATGTAGCCCGCCGCTCCAATGAGCGAAGTATAAAACCACAACAACAATGAAAACAACAACAGGATTTCAGTTAAGCCCAGTGACTTGTATTGGAGAACGGAAAAAGCAAGTGAAACAAAAACTAACTGCACTTTGCACATTAAGCTAAATAATTTACGAATTTTCTGAGTAAAGAGAAAGTGGTTCAAAGAGATTTGACAAAAAAATTTAATAACATTTCATGTTCGCTGAGGCAGGTTTTGAGGCAACAATTTCTTTGGCGTCAAATTGCTATATCATTAAAATAGTTTATTCTAAGTATTTGTGGGATTTCCTTGGCTGGTGATCAACACTTCCAAAAAGAAAAATAAATTTTAACGCGATATGACTGTACATGTAAATAAGTCGCGTGCCAACTTACAAATCCACTCTCGTCCAAAAACACCAGCATATCAGCGTCAAACAAACAAATATTTGCCCAGTACATTTGTCGAAGTTCTTCATTTCTCTGCGACGCAATCTGTCGAACCTATAAATGGGACAAATCGTTAGGCTAATATAGGACAACTTAAACCACGCAAGCGGAAGGCAAATATTAAGATTACCTTTTTGCGTGTTATTCCATTGCGTTGGAAGTAATAATAGGAAGCTTTAGCATCGACGACGGCAACGGCAGCGAAAACGTCAGTTTTTAAATGAATTCCCGTTTTTTCAATCTTTGTCGTGTTTATTCCAATTTGCTGAAAATGGCAAATGTAGGCGAATTTCCCTGGAGTTGATTTCTTGAGGACCGCGCTCACGTTTAGGGACAGAAAAAGAGATTCGTCGTCGCTTGTTTACGTCCTCCAAAAAACTTGCAATTTGGCATTTTCACGTCGTAGTCCTGCAAGGACGGTAAAGAAATGTACAAAAAAGCGTGATGCACGTGCAAAGTTGTTGTTTTGCGTAATAAACCTATTGCTTTTTTGACGTCCTCGTTACCGTTGCCGTCGTCGTTACTAAAGCTCCCTAATGAAGAGAGGAAAGGGCGTCTTCGGAGCCTGTGCTTCTGTAAATTTGATCAAAAATCTCATTTAAGGACACTGTTTCATTTTCCAGTACTGCCTCCATAATTATAAGCTCTTCTGGCGGCTGGAAATGCAAGCTTCCCGGAGGTCTTCCGATCTTCTTTGCTTTCACATCACCAGAAACAAAATAACCATGTAAGTAGCGCCTAAGAGTCCATTTGGATATCCCAAGATGGAAACAGGTTTCTTCCTCTGAATACCCACAAAAATGCCTGATCCAAATCGCCCTCCAACGGAAGTCTTCAGAGTATGGCGCGGGCATGTTACAAACTGCGCTTGCTCCCGTAATGCACCGCGCGCTATGAAACATGGATCATGCATAATGAATCATTCTTCGCCGAAGCAACCTTAATTGAAATAGGTGTATACAAACACAAAGTGGAGTTGAAAAGTCTTTATTTCAGTTTAGTTTATGTCTTCTTATTTAGCTCTAAAACTCGGATATATCAACAAAACATACACAAAGGGGAGCTGAAAACTCTCTATTTCAAGTTTGTCTCACTATTAAAGAACCATTTTCTCCCATCTATCTCAAGGAAATTAAAGTCTCAAGGTTTCACGCGCCGTTAGTTAGGTAATTATGCGAGTTCACAAGCCTAAAGTTGAATACAAATTAGCTCTACAGGGAAACCTCAAGGGAGCATATTGGCGTATTATTATAAAACAAATAACTTAACAAGGATTAATTGATTCAACACTCAACTAATAATTGGTAGCAATAAAATCAGACACGAGATACCGTTTAATACAAAACGAGTCAAATACACAGCAATTTTTGTTCCTATTGTAGTAGAGTGACGCTCATTAGTAAACCTATCCACTTCATTATATATGGAGGAAGGCACTTAATTAGTATGCAGGAAGACACTGACTAGGCACTTAATTAATATGGAGGAAGGCAGTGACTAGGCACTTAATTAGTATGGAGGAAGGCACTTTTTTTTTCCCTAGGTTATAACAATGGGTGACGTCATTGACTAGACCTAGCTAGACCTTGCTAGACACCAACGAGGCCTATCTTTGCTGAAGCATAGCTACTAACAATGCCTCTATTTCATTTACGCACGTAAATTTTACGTGCGTTCGCACGGAAAAATACGCGACAGTGGAAATCAACCCTAAGGGAAAGTTGCTTTCTGCCGCCGGGTAAGTGATTTGACCTGAGAAAAATATTTCCAAGGTAACACCAAAAACGGCAGCGTTAGAGCCTGTTTTCTTAGTCTAGTGGTTACGTTTAATTTACAACAATGTTCACTCTGCAGATCTTTAACGCCAATGATGGGAGGAACGATATCGTAAAACACAGTCTGGTCGGTCTAATTAGAGCAAGGTTCATCCGCTTTCAGCCAACAGCGACTACAACTGAAAAAGCTTTAAGAGTAGAAGTGTATGGAATACTCACAACTGCAGGTATATTTTTTAAAGATTCTCGTTTATTGCCGTTTCCCGTGGTTTATGGACGGTAAGATATTCACACCGCTACCTACGATACACATGAATCATATCTATTGTTACGAAAATACTCTTGCTTTATTTCCGGTCTTGAGAAAAGTTCCGATATTCATAAACCAGCAGAATCATGAACGTTATTTCCAACGTTCTTTATTCCTCTAGTTTGTCTTTATATCGTAGTTTGAAATGTCAGCCGTCCCTCCCCCTAACCCCCATTAGCCGTTGGTCTTAGCTTGTAAAAGAATTGTGCCTTGTAAAGTTTGAGGCGTTATCTTCTCGAATAGCAACTTGGTTCGTCCCTTCATGAGAAGCAAAGTAAAGTTTGCTAGCAAGGCCTATTTTAAAGGGACACAGATAGGTGAGTCACATGCGCATTTCATACTATTTCTTAGCTGATCTAGCTGATTTGCATATCACAAGACACGCGCCTGAAACAGATAGTGAAAAGCGCATCCGGAATATCTAAACAAACCTTGTGGAGTTGGACTAGGTACAAGCCGAAATCGTGATTTTTGTCCAGGGGAAGCAAACATCGACAAATATTTCTGAATTCGATCATCAATAGAGGTGAGAAATGACACGGAGTCTGCATAAATCATTGTCGAAGAAAGCTTGTTTTTCCAAGCATATGTAACCATTTCCATCAATTTTCCAAATATATATAACGATTATTTGCCCGCCAATGTTACTGATTCATTTCTTTTGTTATTTTGGTAAATGAAGGCGATTTATCCCGCCCGGCGCCGACGCGTTTCTCACCTCTTCTGTTCATGTTCCTTTGGATACTGTTTTTAGCCAAATATGATAAAATAATAATGTCATATAATGAGATAAAGTCTGCTCAAAAAGAAAGATCGATGATCGAATGAAACACCAGGCCAGATTGACGCGGATTTCTAGATGTATCGGACGCGAACATTTGATTTCGGGTTCTGGTAAATGCTTTTCAAACTGGCAAGAGTAGCGTCCAGTTCATCGCGGTCCCATAGACGACTGTGTCCCTATAATAGGATTTATATAGACTCATCGGAGCATATCAGTGCTTATACCATGCCACAAATTTACACCAACTAGCTCATATTTAGAAAGTGGGCGTTTTTCATCTTGTTCTTTCTGGAGATACCAACATATCCCTTAATTTCCCAAAGTTAGTTTTTCTGACGATACGATTGCTTACCAACTATCGGTTTTAGTTAACTTTCGAGTTTGTTGCTTAAACTTGCTTTAGTATTCTTCACAAGGGGTAAATATATGAGTCACAAAAATATTTAAATATATCAATGTCAGTGATTGACGGAAACACATTTTTTGCAAAAAAAGTTTCCTTTCTTTATTCTTCCCACAATCCCTAGGCCCTCTAACAATAAATGGTAAATAAAAGGTAGATTTCAGTTGCATTATCCGGATTAAGAGAAACGCGTCTTTCGTGATGTTCTCAGTTCCGAGCATTGATGCAAGCTGTTGAGCCCTTGTTGTTGTTGTTGTTGTTGTTTTGTTTTTTTCTATTAAGTTTCCTCTCGGCTTTTCTTTTATGTTTTCTTCTCACAATCTGTAGGTCCTCTAACAATGTATAGTAAATAAAAGGTAGGTTTCATCATCCAGGTGCTTACTTTTCTTCTAGCGCCAAGCCGTGCTCCCACGAACTTTACGGTGACCCCTTCCACTTCCACGAGAGTTCAGGCATCCTGGCAGTTACCAACGGCAGACTTCCAGACGATTACAGGATTCAGGCTCCTGTACAGAAAATTTAGCTCTGTTGAAGATCCACTTACCGTCATAACCATTGAAAGCAGTTCTACCCTCAGCTATGAAGTCACTGGACTTGCGATATTTACAAAATATGAATTTCAAGTATTAGCTTTTTCAATTGTGGGTGATGGACCGTCAAGTGCCGTTAAAACTGTGAGAACTAACGCGGAAGGTACGTATTCACTGAAGAGCTAATTCTACGTGGTAGCCTCTAAATTGAGGATACCGGCGCTAATCAATTCATCTTGCTCTTTCTCAGAGATTGAAATTATCGCTCGCCCACTCCCCAATCCGAGTGTGAAGGCGCCTCGGTCGATTGGCAATCGTTGATTACTCGCCCGATTACGCCTTCAATCCTGCCTTCTATTATACTCTATTTATCTCCATATCTGCTTTGTCGTTTTATCTTTATCGCTGTTGGGAATAGATGATCAAGGTAGAATCTGTCTTGAACTTTTAGGGACAGATTGTCTTTTAAAATGCATTTATATAGAATATATTTTAGGATAGATAAAGGCATAGTAATAATTATTGTTTTCTGGTGCAGGTTAAGGCCCTTGCATTTTTTTAAATCTCTGCGAGATTGACAAATTTAGATAATCGAAATGCATCCTTGTTGTTGTAGTCAAATGCCATCATCCTAAATATGGCCTTTCGACTTCTCCTTTTCAGCTCCTTCACAAGCCCCTACGAACCTGGTTGTGACTGCCAACAACTCGACTAGTGTTTTAGCGAACTGGCAACTTCCCCCCGGGATATCCCAAAATGGAGTTATTTTGGGATTTACACTGTACTATCGGATAAATGGCACCTCTGATCAAGCGAACACTGTCACTGTTCACGATGGAACAGTTCTCTCTACAACGATCATGGGACTTGGGAAATTTACAGGGTACGAATTCCAAGTGTCCGCATTCACTAACGCTGGGGACGGACCGAGAAGCTCTGTTGTGACGGAGAGAACAAGTGAAGATGGTAAGACATGTACAGTCAATGTAAGAAAAAAACACGTACATGTACATGAACGATCCTTCCGGCTAAGCTTATATGCGTTAGGTTAAGAATTCTCAGTTCTCATACTTGAAATATCAGTAGCCTGAGAAAACAGCCCACATTTCCGACGCCACGACAGGATTCCCCAACGAAATGACGTCTCTGAGAAAAGAGCGCAGAAATTCCATACCGACGACAGTGCCTCTGATTGATTGAAATTTTGCTTTAACCAATCAGAAACACTACGATCAAGTTGATGTATTCAATAAGTTATTCCTTGACAAGCTGAGTGAACATGCACCAATTAAACCCATAAAGATCAAATCACGCCCGAATCCGTTTCATCAAACCTGAGATCAAACAATTGATGAAAACCCGTGACAGCTGGCATAAAAAGGCGCGCGTGTAAAACAAACGACAAACTCCACTTGAACGCTTTTCGATTTTTAGACGGGAAGTTGTAAATATCCCAAAGGAATTGTAGTAAGTTTGATCGGTATGTTTGTGCCCAGAAGAACTTTCCATAATAAAGAGTTATCCTTAGTTTTGTCCAATGTAAGTATCATTACGACGTCTTTGCTCATTATGCTTTTGGATGTGTCTTTTTCTTGATAGCACCCAGCTTCGGTCCAGATACATTTTTCACTACTGAACTGAATGAAACAACGTTCAACATTTCCTGGGCTCCTCTACCAACAGAGAAAAGCAATGGGATAGTCGTTCTCTATGAAGTAAATGCGGAGCTGGTAACCGGAGGGCGCTCACGTCGAGCAGTTGGAAGCAGTACAGGAGTCAATACAACAAATACCTTTGCTGTTTTGTATGATTTCATTTGTTCCCAGTACAGTTTTTCCGTTCGGGCTTTTACTGCCTTCGGACCTGGGCCCTATGGTCCGGCCACAAAGCTACACACGTCAAATTCAAGTAAGTAGTCAGAATTGGCCATTTCCGAGGTCCAAACACTCTCACTTTCCAGGAAGCTAAGTGCAAATTAAACATTTCTTGTGAAAAAAAGTTTTCTTTGCTCGAGGTAACTCGGAAATGGTGGAAAAAAAAAAAAATAATAATAATAATAATAACAATAACACACAGAAATTTTATTGAAAGTTGGAAAATAACTAATTAGATTACATTACACTTAAATTTTAAATTGTTGGTGATAAAACCTTTAATATTTATATACAATTCATTTCGATTAAAATAACCATCTAATTCCGATTAAAAAATTCATTTCAATTAAAAAAAAAAGTTATTCGAATATTAATGACAACAATGCTAACTAATACCAACTAACTATGCTAATGCTAACTAACAATGCTAATAATAACAATAATAATAGTAATAACAATAATAATAATAATAATAATAATAATAACAATAACAATAATAATAATCTGTAGCCGTATCAGTCAACTTTTTAGGAGTACATGAAGCGAATCGGCGTGAACATGAGGTTGGAAGTTATTCAGAGAACAGCATTGTTGGGACAGCAAAGATACTAAGGAAAGTACTGTACCTGTAAGAAGAAGGAAAAGAGAGACCTGGAACCCGTGGTGACTTGTTGTAACCCGCTCCCAAGGACTAAAAACCAGGCCGAACATCCTGCCTTAGTCTACAAGGAATTTACATAATAATAATGATGATGATGATGACGATGACGATGACGATGATCATGATCATGATGATAAGAGAGGCACAATAAGGCAGCTGCATATATCCACTGGAAGGCGTGCCAGCATTACAGTCTCAGAGAGTTGTTATAGTAACAAGCTGTTGTTATTCATCAATGATTTGCCTTGTGCTGTGTCTCAGTGTAGCACATTGGCATTGTTTGCCGACGATGCGAAATGCTTCCGCACTATTAGATCTGCCAGTGACTGTGTGCTGTTTCAAGGTGATATTGATAACCTGGTTGACTGGAGTGATGTTTGGAAGATGGCTTTTAATATGGATAAATGCTCGCTTTGCACGATAACGAGGAAGCGCAATCCAATAATTTATGATTACAATATGAGAGGAAAGGCACTTAAGAGAGTGGAGGCTCAGCGTGATCTTGGCGTTCTCATCACTTGTGATGCTCGATTCAATGAGCACAACTACGCCCAGGTGAACAAAGCCAATAAGATGTTAGGTTTTATCCGTCGTTCACTCAGCAGCAGGAGCGATCAGTTTCTGCCAACATTTAGATCTCTCTACGAGGCCCTTTTGCGTTCGCATTTGGAGTATGCCTCGGAAATCTGGTGTCCAAAGTCTGTCACCTTAATAAAGCTTATTGAGGGTGTCCAACGACGTGCTACGCGGCTTCTCCTTCCTAATTTACCATTCAATGAACGCCTTCAGCAGCTCATTCTTCTCCCATTGGTGTACCAAAGAGAAGTTAAGACATAACAACATTTTATAAACTGAAGTGTGGTTACTATAACTATTCAGTTGAAAGATATTTTGACTTTTGCTCAGACAAAAGATTAAGGTCATATTCTAGTAATAAGTTAAAGATTAACAAAGTCAGAACCGAATTATTCAAAGGCACTTTTTGCAATAGATTACCATATTTATGGAACAACCTGCCTGATAAACTCAGGACCTCTAATTTAAGCCTATCATTATTTAAAAAACAATGTAATGAGTTCTATAAAAAGAAGAACTTCGACCCTGACCACCCGCATGTCACTTGGATGTAGTGATCGATGTAACAATTATTTTCTGATTAGATTAATCTAGGATATGACATATTAGCAATTATAGTTTTTACATTTAAGATATAATCTTAATGTTTTCTTTTTCCTTTTTCTTCATTTAAGTGTCTGTTGTAGTTTTTGGGTGGACTAGCTCGAATGGTTCGTATGTTCCCTTCTAGTCCTTCCCCACTGCAATAATTTTTTTTAGTATGTAGTCAATTGTTCTCTTATGTAATTTAGCTAAGTTTTCTTTTTTGCAGTGAAAATGGAAAAAAATATATAAAAAATAATAATAAATAAGCCCGAGACGGTTAGCGAAAACGAAGAGGCCACAATTCTCTGGGATATGCAGATACTTACGGATAGGGAACTGTCAGCGAAAAACTCTGATATAGTGATCAAGGAGGACCATGCTAACCAGTGCTGCAAGATGTATCGGTATCATCCGACCGAAACACCTCGACGTAAAGTCATTGAAAAGCTCTCAAAATACAAAGATCGTGAAACTGAAACCACGAGAATATGGGGAATGAGGACAGAGACTGTGCCGGATATTGTTGTTGCGCTGGGACTTATTAGAGAGGGAATGGACCAGAAGTTAGCAAAGATCCCTGCAGCCAGTAACATCAATGAGCTGCAAAATATCATCCCCGTAGGAACGGTACACATACTGAGAAGGTTTCTGTCCATCAAATAAAAACTTCCCTGGTACCTAAGGATCAAGGATTAGTTCCAGTTCTAGGAGAGTGTAGGAAGCAATTAACTGCACTGAAAACGTTTATCATCATCATCATCATCATCATCATAATTTAACCCCCATTAAGCGGCCGCGCCCATCTTTTCGACATCCCGACGAGAGTTCTCCTGTTGTTGCCACCTCTATTAAGCGGCATCAAGCGTTTGATATACTTAGTTTGGCCTTATTTAAATAATATGATGAAGGAAAATACAGTCCGAGATAGAAGGTGACGAATTAGTGTGAACCAGTAACGCCACTAGTGTCGCGTGTTTGTTTCAAGATAAAGTGTTGTTTCTGCTGAAGATTTTGCTAACTTATGACGAAACTCTATTGAGCGGCCAACCTCCCTGAAGGGCCTACTTGCTGGTTACCCGAGGGTGGCTGCTTAATGGAGGTTCAACTTGAATAAATGTATTCAATCCAAGACGGCGACAAAGATGTCCAGTGCCCCATCCCTGACCCCTCTCTCTGGGTATAGTGTTCGGGTATGAAGTGCCTTTCATGCCGCGCACGTCTATCCATTTCAATCATTTGTAATTTGCCTGGATTTATTGCCGATATTTTTTCTCTCCAGGGCCAGCCGCACCCCGTTTGTTAAAGGCAGTAATGTCTGAAGAAACGAAGGTGACGCTGGAATGGACACCACCAACATTCTTCCCAGTGGAGAGCCTTAAATATAAGGTGAGAGGTGTCTAAAGGAAGCTAGGTACAAGTTGAACACAATATGTTGAGCAATATAGCTGACAATCTCTATTTACTTTATATCGTTAAATATCCCGTTGCATTTCTGTTTGTTATCATTATCATCATCGTCATCGTTATCGTTATCGTTATCATTACCGGAGTCGTTATCGTTATCATCGTTATCGTCATCGCTATCGTTACGTTATCGTTATCATCGTTGTTACGTTATCGTTCTCGTTATCGTTATCATCGTTGTTACGTTATCGCTATCGTTATCGTTATCGTTATCATCATCGTTATCGTTATCGTTATCGCTATCGTTACCGTTATCGTTATCATAAGGAAGAAAAACCTAAACGTTTTCGTCTTCGTTTTCAACCAAATCTTTCCATCAGCTCAGAATCTTTGAAGGCCTGATGATTCAAGAATTGAAGCCTAGCTTGAACAGGAAAATTAACTCCCATGTTACAAAACTTTGCCATCGAGAATTACCTAAAAAGATAAAATAATTATGCATTTAGCATTATCATTGTCATTATCTTCATTACACTCAGCTGGATGGTTTGCTGGAGTCCTCCTTTGCGGACATCAAGCCACCGCCTGTGGCCTCAGGTTTCTAAGACCTTTCGGAGGATTCTGGCTATTCCCAGTAAGCACGCTCTCCATAAAGGTTCTAGTCCACATGTAACACCATCTCCACTAACCACTATTCTACATCTTAAATGATAGTTTCTAATGCAACAATCGCGACTAGCGCCACAGTTACTTTGTGCAATTTCCAGATTCGTTCCCCCCACTCTTCAGTTCTTCTTTTTCTTATCGTTATTATTCTTATAGACTGTTCACAGTCCCCTATATTCTCGTAAGATCGTCAGGATCGAGCGGCTACTTGTACTGGCAGCCATCTTGGTTTCTTATATGCGGGTTGCGGGCGTGCTTTGCAAACCGTCCCCCGTCCCCTAAATAGATTTGACACTCATTGCATCCAAGATGGCCGCCCGCAACGCAAATCCCTCGATGCGACGATCTTACAAAAAGATAGGGGACTGTGGACAGTCTGTTGTTCTTATTGTTCTTATCATTTTATTAATTTCTTTATTCATTTTGTTATTATTATTATCTATTTATTCATTTATTTATGTTTTCACTAAGGTGAAATACACTGGGACAAAGCATTACAATTCATCATTTTTGGATATTGGCGAACAAGACCCAGATGAGGCGACGAATTCCGTAGTGGAAAATTTGGTGCCTGGGACTCGGTATAACTTTGAAGTTAATAGTGTATCTGTCTGTGGGGAAAGCCAACCAACTGCTGCTGAAGTAACCACGAAAATGTCCGGTAAGCAGACAGTTGACTAAACTTTTTTACGTCTATTATTGGAATTATTAAAAGGTTGAGCTTTGAGAAATAATTTTTTTTGGAGTCTCCAACGGGATTCGAACCTGTTAACTTTCCAGAAGGCCAGCTCAGCGGTTTAGGCTATGTTCATGCTGACACGAAGAGCTATCCGGCCATAGGCGAATCCTTGTTTACATGTTTTGCCTCATTAGCAAGGGCTTATCATTTTCTGATGAAGCTAATAAAACGAAATTTCCGAATATTGAAAGAGCATACCAACTTCAGTTATCTCTGAAAATTTGAGCCCGATATACCAAATAGCCTCGGAGAAATTTTTTTGGAAAAACTTCAAAATTTACAAAGGATGTATGACTCCATTAACGTTTTGCCACCCAGTAATTTTGCAGCTTTTGATTGCTGCTATTTTCTTTGTTACTGATCGCAAAGAGCTGAAACTTGCACAAGCTGCGTAAATTAACTAGGTCTTTTAATTCTTGAACGTCATTGGTATAAAAGGCTACATCTTCTATGGGTTAACTCGTATCATAATGAGCAAAAATGTAAACAATAACGTCGCGATGAATCCGCCTATAATATGAACACCTATGCGATATGTAACTCTCCACTTTTGAGTAATGGCGCGTCGCAGCTACTCTCCCTTATAGAGTTTGCGCCGAAATCGCCGCTCTTATGCGTGAACAGAAGCCCTATTCGGTATGGTTCTCTTTCCGGCAAAGAAGCTATCCGGTACAGTGTGAATATAGCCTTAAACTCTGAGCTAATCGGACGACTCCTCAACGCATTCGCCCCTGAGCCGTTTGTGACCGCCCGCGCGGATCCACATCCTTTCTACCGCTTGTAACATTATCAGTGTTGATTGTCAAGGATAACGTTGTCCGCTAACTTGTGCTGAGTGAAGAGATCATTCAAACCAGCACAATTTAGTCAAGGACGCCAGAGAAAAAGGCAAAAAACCATGTAACATTGACCTGAAAATTTCCATGAAAATCTTGTTCCACCACCCACCTACCTTTACTTTCATCTAATCCTAAGATCCTAATAGCTTTCCTAAAAACTTTTCCGACTAAAATGAAAATTACTTAATGCCCAGCAAGAGAAAAAAAATGAGGCAAAAAAAGCGAAAAAAAGAGGGCAGGACAAAAAGCGAAAAGTAAAAGTCAAGACCGCTGTGTCACTTTTAAACCAAAACATTTTGCTTTCTGCGCATGCTCGAACTTAACAAGCTAATATTTTGCATCTGGATCAGAAGGCCGCGAAGTGTACGACCTGTGAACGGCTTTATGGTAAGTTTTAGCTCTTTATAGCATGACAGTGACCAGAAAACCGCTCGTCTGGCTTCAAAACAGGTTTTTCGGCAAAATCCCCAAGGGCGGATGGGTTAAAAAAAGTCCATTCACTGGGTTTATAAGTGGCACGCAATGCCATGCTTCTTGAATACTGCCGTCGTTTTTAACGTATGTATAGTATAAAAACGGTGAATAAGACAGACGCATTAAAACGTCTAACGACATTAACGTCTTCTGTTGAATGGGCTGAGTCATGGCTTTCTCGCTTATTTTTTTGATATTGCCAATTACGCTTCATTATGTGCTATGGGGGTCAAGCAGCACCTCACTGAACGGCTCACACAATTGGCTGTGAAAACAATAGCAACGGTAGCATAACAATCCCTGGGGGAAAAAAGGCAATATTGTTTAAGGGCCCGTTTACATGAAAATGTGGGAACTCAGGTAGGTGAGTTAACATATGGCGGGTCACCCCACCTACCGTGTAAACGTAATGAGAGATTATATGGACAGGTGGGTTACCTCACCTAAGCGGGTTACCTCACCTACCTGGGGTCCCCCACCTCCAAGTAATCAGGCTCTTAGTCGACCACTGAAATAAGAGGTTCATGTGAGGAACTGGACTACTGCGCTATGGAGCTTAACAAAGAAATTACTTGTAAACGACAAAATCAAAGCTTCTTGTTCAACAAATACACTTCCAAAGCATTATATCAAACGTTACAAACAGCAAAAATGAACTTTGAAAAATTGTTAGGCTAACAAGGTTTCAAAGCCCACAATAGCAATCCGTTTTAATCTTCTTAATTAGGGACTTAAAGCAACGACTACGGGAGGGTCTAGTGCGGCGACCGGAAGTATTAAATCCCGCCACGCGTCAATGCCTCAACTTCTAGTTACCACGACGGCTATAACGGTCAAAACGTCGCTTTTTAATAAAAAGTGAAAAACGCAGTCAGTCTTAGCGTGCGTGGCTGGAGGGATTAGCGTGGGAGTGTTGTATTGTTGTGGCGGCGGAACCACGAGAAGGGTGGTTATACAAGTCATTATAAAGGGATTTCCCTTCGCGGTTTTCCCGTACGCAAAAATCCCTAGCGGATTCGCCGCTCGCTTCTCATGGCAGCTCCGCCACCAAAAAAGTTCCCAGGGAACAATAATCCCTCCAGCTACGTTGGCTAAGTCAGTCCTAGAAGTCTTTTCAAAAGCTTCATGTAACTCGGACCAGTTTCCTTCTCCTGTTTTAGTCTGGCAAATTGTTATTTATTTATTTATCTGTTTATTTATTTTCTGACCTTTCTTTCTTTTTTTTTTTATTTTTCATAGCTCCTCTCGCACCATACGTTGGTAAGATAACTGATATAAGTGCCTCAAAGTCAAGTGCTGTTATCCAGTTATGGCCGGCAGAACAAAGAAATGGCCCTATAAGGTATGATCAAAGCATTGTTCCCTTAAAACGGATGCCGGACATCCGATCATAATGTTAGGGAGCTTTAGCAGCGACGACGGCGACGGCAGCGAGAACCTCAAAAAAGCAATGGGTCTTATTAACAAAACAACAACTTTGCTCGTGCAGCACACTTGTTTGTACATTTCTCTGCCGTCACTGCACGACTACGGCGTTTAAATTCCTAATTTCACATTTTATGGAGGACGTAAACAAGCGATAAGGAATTTTTCTTTCTGTTTCCACACTTGAGTGTGGATCCCAAGAAGTAAACTCCAGGGAAATTCGCCTACATTTGACATTTTCAGCGAATTAGAATAAGCGGCACAAACTTTGAAAAAAGCTTCCGTCGCCGTCGTTGATGCTAAAACTCCCTAGTGAAAAGAAAGAGGAGCATGGAACGTCTGTGTGTGAAAAACTTGACAGGGTTGGTAATTAAGTCATTCGTCGTGATCTTACCTTAACATTCCTGCCATTACTGGGTTTTTGAGATGTGTTTAAAGGAAGGTGAAGTAAGTATTGTCACGCTTGTCACACAGGGTTTGTCAACTCCTTTCCTTTTCTCTAACATTTCGTATTAAGTTCATTAATGCTGAAATGAGAATGCCAGGGTTTCAACATATACTTCTTGCTACTCAACGGGATCTACCTAGGGTCAAAATATGTAACAAAAATTGACTGTTTACAGTCGTGTCGATACAATTTCTTTCAAAATTTCAACATCGAAATGCCTTTTCTCAATCTCTTCGGCGATTGGCTAGTGAGACTTGTAATTGCAGCGTATCTCCTCATAGATTAAACTTGTGTTTTGACATGATTGTTTTACTTCATGTCATGCGCGGCAAATCGATTTATCAAAGGTACGTAACTACGCTCCAGGCTTTCACCGCGCAAACTGGGCATAAACTTGCACGGTTCAAGTGTTTACACGAGTCCGCGTAAAAGTGAAACCGTACCGATCAAACATTTTGACCCAATTCTGAACAGGTAAAAAACTAGCGCGATTCCGTGGGTCCCGTGTAAACGAAAGGTGGATCCGTGTAAGTTTTTGTCAGTTCAAAAATTTGTCCGGACCCGTGCAAATGTGGTCTTAAACTCCTTTGTTTTCGTTTAACGTGTTTGACTCTATTTCTCCAGTGCTTATCAGGTTATAGTTCTGAAAGTGGCTGATGGCAACGAGAACCTTCCACCCGATTATGATTCTAAGCTCAAAGATTCAGAAGAAGCTTCACAATCTAACGTCGATTTTTACATTTCTGCTGAGTTAAGTAACGAGCCGGTGTACAAGACAGCCTGGGAATTCACAGTTGGTGATGGGAAAAACTATGGAGTTTACAAAAACACCGTCTTGCAACAAGGGGAGGTTTATATTGTCTTTCAGAGGGCCTTAACTGATGACCAAAACGAAAACGTAAGTATTGAGCTGAAAGTCCAGTCAAACACAAGATTGCCATTCTGACAACATTATAGTCGGGTTTAACACATGTAAAGGAATGTACACCTAACTACAATAGCCTTGTCTTAGAATAATGCTAAAAGGCAAAAAAAAAAAAAGAAAAGAAAATTAAAAGATAAAGAAAAAATCAAATAAGAATTGATTAGGCTTACTAATAAACCACTCTAGGGTGCATTCATTTACAGCACAGGGAAATATATGCAAATGCGACGGCTGTACGCGTATGTTGCAAATGCACCTTTAAGTTATTGTTAGTAAGTCTAATTAACTCCTATTTTGTTTTTTACATTTTCCTTTTTTTTGCTTTTCGCATTTTTCTGTGACAACGTTATTGCAATCAAGTGTATCTGAATATGTAACAGCTAACATAGCACATTTCTATTTATAAATGTTTATAATTAATCTAATCCAGTGTGTTTAGTTATAAATATATGTTGTGGATCAATATCCTTGGATTTTAATTTTATTTCCCTTTGTTGTTGGGTGTGGTAATGTATGATAATGAGTTTGAAACAAAGGAAAAAAAATTAAACCAAGGAAAAAACTGATCCACAACATTTTTATTACTTTTTGTTTACCTCAAACACTATAGGTCGTTTTGAAAGGAAATCACATCAAGGTTGCCAAGATATCCGTTACTAACGGTGAGAATTGGTCAATGCTCTGTTGTAACTTAAAACAATTTGACGTCCATAACTGAATCCCACTGAAAGAAATCATGTCCCCTTTGGCCTTTTGAGGTGACTTTCTCCTGCTTCGCACAGGGTCTGGTAGGGTATTTCCGGGATATAGCGCGGGATTCGGGAAAAAGCAAGAATTTCTTGACGGGGTACGGGATTCGCTAACATCTTGGCACGGGATGCGGTATTTCATATAGATAAGAAAACGGTATTCGGGATAGATATGACAGAAGTTCGGAATGTGGGATTGTCGTGTAAATCTAGCGACATCATGATCATAATCATAATCATAAATTTGTAAGTTATGATTTAGTGGGAACACACAGGTGCGAGAGGTGGAAATAAAAGTGTGTACTTGTCGTTTTGAGTGCGATGCTTGAAGAGTCGCTGCCATACAAACCTACGGATTAATTGCAGTAATGATGGGCTTTATCCCATCGACTACATTTAATCAGCGTTTTTTTCGCCGTCGCGTAATCATGATACACTGTGTATTAATCCTTTTGCTTCTGGAATCAAGAGGACGTCTCCTGGCAGAAAACAGGGAAAATCAAAGGCGCTTCTGGGTGAGACCAATATTGAAGGCAAGGAAAGCGTGCGGATGTTATCATAGTCGTGTTCAAGAACTTCAACTAGGGATCGAGGAATAGCATGAGCGGCAAGTTACTCCAACTAGGACGCTCACTGGCCAAAATACAATGAAAGAGCATATCCGATTATGATTATGACTATGAGCGCTAGGTTTTACGTTCCCACTACGACATAAGCATTATCACAAAATGACTGATCATTTTCTTATGATTATGATTATGTCGATCATAAGCGTCTTTATGATTATTTTTTTGGCGTTTACACTACGACATAAGCGACATGAACGCCCCTACGACTATGATTATGATTGTTATGTCGCTAGAGGAAACCAGCCCTAAGGGAATGCGTAATTTTGTTTGTTTGTTTGTTTTTTATTGGCTTTTGCGGAAAAAGAAAAAAAGAATCGACCTTTTATAGAATTTGGCTCACTGACGCCTTGACAAAGTTACAATATTGCCTGCTAATTTCCACGAGTCATCCATTGAACGTTTTGATACAACTGCATATGGAGTATCGTTTGAAACTATAAAGTCCTTCTGACAAATCAAATCACGCCAACCGATCTTGAATATATCACTCTGTTATCCTGCAGATATTGGAAAAAATGATGCATCTGAAGGTTCAAGTGGTACAAATATCATTCCAATAGTTGTACCAGTGGTGTTGCTATTTCTCCTCATACCAGCGGTGGTCATTGTATTTATTTTTTATCGAAGGTACGTCCTTGCTAACGGCTGCAATGCTGTTGTTGTAGTAGTTGTTATTGTTGTTGTTGTTTTTGTTGTTGTTACTGCTGTAGGGTTAGTTGTTGCTTCTCCATTACCTGAGGGTCTGTGTGTGATTGAATTTTGATTACGATTGGGGATTTCTCATGGCGTCCAGCAAAAACTAAAAAAATGCTGTGGAATATGACTTCTGATAACCCATTTCGTTTTTAATTAGCTACGGGTGTATTTTACAGCAATTGAACTGGACCAACATTCCGCTCTCGCTAAAATGTTGCCTCGTTCGGTCGGTCCAAATCGGAAGGGAGCGAAAAGGAAGAGGCACGTGCACCCAGTAGTTCGAAAACAAGAACAGTAAAAACAACAAATTAATTGCACATCATGAATGAGATTACAGGGAATAAAAGTCGACTGAAAAGGAAAGAAAAGGAACATTTCTCGCAACCCTCAGTTACCTTAATTAAATCGAGGCAGAAGTTGAAAAAAGAAATGTGTGAAAACCTAGACGTAATAATAATTTTACGTAGAGAAATGTTTTACTTATAGAGAGCGAAAGAGTAGGGAACATCGTCCCCGGTGGGGTGATCAATCCTTCAAAGTGGAGGGGTCTATCATTAGCCCGCAGTAACTGGCCTCGTGCGCTGTTCCGGTTACCTGGCATAGAATGGTCGAGTTTTGCAAATCTTGATCCATATATACATCCAAATATTTTTCACGTTTAACTTGCCCGTCATGCTGGGTTGATTAGGTCAATTCTGTGCTAAAGTCATTACTTTGTCCCTTTACCGATGTACAAAACGCTCCTGTAGAGTCATGAAGAAGATATCGATCAAATTTCATCAGGAAGCATTAACGTCTAATAATTTTTTTGGCGATATTTTAGGCATAACAATAAAACTTGAAAAAGCTGGCTCAACTTTTTCAGCCTTCAATCCAAGTCCATCCTTACCATCCGTTGCAAAAGACGACAGGGGACATTTTCAATTAGTAAATATAGTCTTAAATATCAAGAACTGGACCGTTATTTTTGAAATTCGATTGATTCGAAGACACGTTTTAACTTTTTACAATAGGGAGTTTAAGATACAACAACGGCGACGGCGGCGAAAACGTCACTTAAAAAGTGATTTGACGTTTTTTGAAACTGCAGCGCAATTATCACAACTCGCTCATTTTGTCCAATGAAGGCAAACTTTCCTGGATTTAAATTCTTAAGAAAGATATGCAAGTTTAAAGAGAGAAAGAGAAATTCGTCGTCGTATGTTCACGTTGTCGATTAAACGTTAAATTAGGCAATTCATGTCGTAGTGGTGCAGTGACGGTAAAGAAATGTACAAAAAAGTGTGATGCACGTGCGAAGTTGTTGTTTTGCTAACCTAAACCTATTGCTTTTTTGAAGTTCTCGTTGCCGTCACCGTAGTGACATCTTAAATTCGCTAATAGTAATGGCCTGTTTACATGAAGGTGGGGGACCTCAGGTAGGTGAGGTAACCTGCTTAGATGGGATAAAAAAAAATAACTTTCCTTTACATGCAATCCTTACAACCCCGCCATCCCGGGGTGCACTTTCTCAAGCTTATTGAATGGTCACTAAGCACGTAAACAAGAAAAATGGTGGCAAACCACGTGTTTTGGCGATTAAAGCACTTCTACACTCATCTGTTGCTCTTGCTGCAACCTTTAGTGCAATGGCTTTCTATTGTTAACTTTAATAATGATGCAAAGCCACCGCCAAAGTGAATTTTGCACGAATTTGATGTATCACGAGTCCGACCCCGGCCAGGCGGGTTACCCCACCTTGAAACGTTTACATGGCAAACTTGGCCCCGGCTGAGAGCGTAACCCGGTCTGGTAGACCGGGCTACCCGCCTTGGCGAGTCACCCCAGCTATCATGTAAACGTGATCAAATTAAAATGAGAGATTATATGGACAGGCGGTTTACCCCACCTAAGCGAGTTACCTCACCTACCTGGGGTTCCCCACCTCCATGTAAACAGGCCCTAAGTTTACGCAACAGGACGGCAGAACGAAGAGGGCAGCAAAACGCTTGTGTGTGACAAACGTGACAGGCCTATTACTTACGTGTTTTGTGGTGATCTTCACTTAAGTTAATGTTTCCTGGTCTTTTACAAAAAGTCCTGCTTAAAGGAGGGTGAAGTTCGGCGGAAAAAATTATTGTCACGCTTGTCACACAAGGTTTGCCGTCTTCTTTCCTCTCCCGTCCTGTTGCGTAAGCTTACTAATTCAGCAAATAGCGTGACTTACCCCCTTTGTATTTTGTATTTCTCGGTTATCATTAGGAGGAAACGATCAAAAAATGGAGGCGACAGCAAAGCCCCTATTCCTCTCGATAGCGTGGGCAGTGACATGGGTCTCGATAGCACGGTGTACCAAACTATTACTGAAGTTAACTCCCCCACCAAACCAGACGAGGTTTATTCAAATGTCGTTGTGGATTCACCCAAAACAAAATCAGACGAACAAATCTACCAGAACACTAAGGACGGTTCCGCAGGGACAGCAGCAAAGCCAGTCTACCAGAATATTGCTGGCATGCGTAATGAAAAGGGTAAATGCCATCATTGTTTTATGTGTCTTCGGATTTCCTGAAGCCAGATGACAGTCGACTGAAAATCGCCCAACAAGTGCAAAAGCGTCGGTCAGCGGTGTTGCAGCCTGTTGTATTTGTACAGCCATTGTTATTGGCTGAAGTCTTGTTGTTGTTGTTTTTGTTGCTGTTTTTGTTGTTGTTGTTGTTGTGGTTGTTGTTGTTGTTGTTGTTGTTCTTCTTCTTCTTCTTTTTCTTCTGCTGCTGCTGCTGCTGTTGCTTCTTCTTCTTCTTCTTCTTCTTCTTCTCCTTCTTCTTCTTCTTCTTCTTCTCCTTCTTCTTCTTCTTCTTCTTCTTCTCCTCCTCCTCCTCCTCCTCCTTCTTCTTCTTCTTCTTCTTCTTCTTCTTCTTCTTCTTCTTCTTCTTCTTCTTCTTCTTCTTCTTCTTCTTCTTCTTCTTCTTCTTCTTCTTCTTCTTCTGCTTTATCCAATTTGTTCAACTCTAAATTAGTTTTGTTAATTTCAAATTTGTCTTTATTTAGCATTCAATTGAAAGTCATCACATAAAACTTCTTAGATATAAATAGATTGGTGCTGTCTTTACGGATACGGTCTTGATTGTCTCGAATACCACTCGATCACATGCGACTGTGTTTAGGATTGTTGATAGAGAAACCCCGGTTTACAAACACCCGCTTAATACGGACACCTAATCATTACGGACGGTTTCTATGACCACCTCAGTGTCTGCATTAACCAGTAAACGAGATTTGACACTATTCCAAAGATATCTTGTGGTCCCAAAGGTGCAAAACTTCATATAATCTCTCCTGCAGTCAAACCCCGTTAGTAAGGATACTGAAGGGGCCATTAACAAAAAGTGTCCGTATGAACGGGGTGTCTGTAAAGAAAGGTTTGACTGTATGGTCAAACCCCGTTTGTACGGACATTGAAGGAGGGGGGGGGCATTAAGAAAAAGTGTCCGTATGAACGGGGTGTCCGTATTAAGCGGGTCTCCGTAAAGCAGGGTTTAATTGTATGGTCAAACCCCATTGTACGGACACTGAGGAAAGGAGGGCAGGGTGGGGGGGGGGGGGGGGGGCATAAAAAGTGTCTGTATTAGCCTGATGTTCATATTGAGCGGTTTACATTTAAAGAAAATGTGAGACCTTTCTTTTGGCAGGAACAAAGCAAACTGTCAGTAATAAAGAGATGTCCGTGTTAAGCGGATGTCCTTAATGCGAAGTTTGACTATACTGTATAATAATACAAACATCTCTGAAATCAAGGACTATGGGCTTGACTCTTTGTTTTTGACTGTTTGTGTGTTCGTAGTGATACAGTAAAAACCCGCGTATAAGAACCTGTTAGGCTAAGGTTGTCCATTTAGACCCCTTTTGCTTATTTTGAGAAATTCAGTTGAACACTGAATACACAAATTTAATAGAACAAGCTCTACCAGTTAGTAAAATGAAGATAAACAGAATACAATGTTTAAATGTTGTTTTTGAGACTTGAGGTATTTTGCTTCATCCAGATACTGCACAGACAGCAAAGATTAAAGAAGACGAGCTTGTGTATAGTGAAGCACAAGATGACAAACCCAAACCAGTTCCCGCGTCTAAGTATGTAGCGTACTTCAAGAGCAAGGCCATTAACAGAGCAGCTGTACTGAGAAAAGAATTTAAGGCAAGTCCAAATCATGCATGCCATTTAATTAGTAACCATTTGTTAGAAATACGTGTCTCGCAAACCCTCGCGAAACCCGGTTATAATAGCGTCATTCAAGTTAAGCCAAGACGGCCGCGGTTAGGAAGTGGATAGTTGACTAGCCTCGGATATTACATATGAAGTTTCTGCCTACTCGTTTCTTTCTTTTCTTCCTTTTTTTCTCTGAGACAAGAATTTAATGCAAGTGGAAATTATGCATGTCATAATAAGTCACCTTATATTAAGTCATGTTTAATGAGGTTATAAAGGCGCCATTCAAGTTAGCTAGACCAAGACGGCCGCGGTTAGGAAGTGGATAGTTGACCAGCCCTGCATATTACATATGAAGATTCTGCCTACTCGTTTCTTTCTTTTCTTCTTTTTTTTCTCTGAGACAAGAATTTAATGCAAGTGAAAATTATGCATGTCATATTAAGTCATGTTTAAAAAACGAGCATGAATGTATTATCGGGTTTAAAAACTCGATAGAGTTTTTAAACCTGATAATACATGACTGCGAGATTTTTATGAACGGCTTCAAAATCTCTGATATTAGCAGATATAAAGACACTCATTAAACATTTTTGTCTTTTTTTTTCTTTATAAATTATTTATGAGTTTAAACACTCTTCCAAGCGCATAGTGCATGTTAACCCTCGGACGTACACGCAAATTCATACCCCACCGTGGTACAAGGGGGTGGGGGGAGGTGGATGGAACCCCTCCCCGGACTTTTAAATATCTTGCAGTATTTTGAAACGATTTTACCTTTAGTGGAAAGCCTTTGATGTTCTTAACAAGATAAGGTATATTTTATGGGTGGTGGCCCTGCTGGAGGCCTGTGACGTCACCAACAATAATCGCCATCTTGGATTTTACCAACAATTAGAAATAAGGTTAAAACCGCGAGAAATGGTAATTTTTTGTTCTTTACATGAAACATAACACGTAAATAAGCACTTTAGCCACAGGATTTACTTTTATTGTTGAAAGAAGTTGAAAAAGCATGTATTTTCACCGAAAATTGGCTTGACCACCTTCTACTTATGACGTCATACCTCGTAACCCCCCCTCCCCTCCCCCCCCTCCAAAGTGCACGTCCGAGGGTTAAAATAATTACTGAGTTAAACATCAATTTAGTTATGTATTAGAGTAGCGGGATAAGAAGACGAAAAGCTTCCTCTTATTTTAGGACAGAACACAACCTTAACGTTAAAAAAAAATGATAATTGTGCTCTCAAGCATTTCCTCATTAATCGATGTTGTCTGTCCTAACCGCTTCTCTGCAGGAATTGCCTGGAGGCATGCTCTCTCCCTATGAGGTTGCAACGAACAACAAATCTAAAAACCGTTATGGTAACATAGTCACCTGTAAGTTTGTTTGTTAATTTATTTTTTGAATTATTTTTCAATACATCGTTCTGCTGACTTTACTTCATGTTCGAGTATCCCCGCCCCAAAAGAAAAATGCGGAGACAATTTACATCCTGGCTTGAAAGAGGTTTGAACTAATGAAACATGCGACATAACATTTAGTACTTATATCAATTTTATATCGCTAATTACATCAAGTTACTGTTCAGGATGAAAAGGAATAACAAATACGATAAAGGTCGATCACGACTTTTGTATGCGAACTCAAATCTCTAACATCCTAAGATTCACTATTTTGATGTTTATAATTCGAATTTAAAAGCAAGATTACACACCATAATTTTAACTTTTGTTTTTAACCCCAGCTAGTAACGTTCTCCAAGCAGCGCCGATCTCCTGGTTTTGGGCCCCCAACGGACTCAGCGAATTTCGAATTTCCCTTCAACCTGATTGGCAAATAGGCCTTATCACGGTTTTCGACGCCATCTTGACGGGTAGGCAAATAGGCAGAAAATTACAGTGTTTGTATGAGAATCCGATGTGGAATAATTTTCGTAAAACGTCCGTTTTGAAAAAACTATGAAATGTAAACTAAAGTTATTAGACAAAAGATTCTTCTCACAAAATTCGAGGGCCTCGCCTGCCCTAGAATCGCTTCTTTTAGTGACCTTTAATTTCCAATACATTTATCTGTAAAAAGGTTTTCCCGCCGACTAAATTTCCCGGGAAAAATTATAGACAAATGTATAGAAAATCTAAAAAGCTATCGAGAACGTTTTAGCGCGGATACAGCCCTCAAAATTTGTCAGTAGAATCCTCTACCTTGTAGCTTTAGTTTACAATTTATAATTGTTTCCAAACGGACGTTTTACGAAGATTATTCGACATCGGATTCTCATACAAACCTGTAATTTTACGCCTGCTTGCCTACCTGTCAAGATGGCGTCGAAAACCGTGATAACGCCTATTGACAACGGCTTTCTAAACATGTCAATGATGGTGCTTTAATACTCAAATCCTGGTACACTGGTAGGGGCCAGAATAAGGATCATAGATTTCGGCGCCGTTTCGCAGACGGACTTAGCCAGAAGTTAAATTCCATCTGTAGCGCTTGAAAAAAAGAATGCGTAACCACAAAAACAACAACTTTATTCTTTGTACAAAAATGCAAAAGTTGGATAGTTTGCCCCGCAAATGGCTGGAAAGCTAGTCGTGGCGGGGCAGGACAAGTACATGAATAACACAATTATCCAATGAAAAAAAAACCTTAAACTCTTAGAAAGCCTTGCAGATTGCAACAAACAATAAATGAAACACAGAAGTTAAGTGATCTAATTTACACAGCGCTTACTGATGTATAATACATTAAGAGCCTGTTTACATGAAGGTGAGGGACCCCGAGTAGGTGAGGTAGCATGTGGCGGGTTACCCCACCTAACATGTACACGTGATCACATCAAAATAAGTGATTATATGGACAGGTGGGTTACCCCACCTAAGCGGGTTACCTCACCTATCAGGGGTACTCCACCTCCATGTAAAGAGGCCCCAAGATATTTAAGGAGTCACTGACTCTAAAATGATAACACAGACAGAGAAAAGCAGATATTAAAACCTTTAGCAAGTGTTATCTATGAACCTACTTTTTTAATATTCATGGGGATTTGAATATAGTCAGCGTGAATGGTTTTCAGAATATGCAGGTTCAGGATAAGAGAAGAATTCGTGAATTAAGATCGAAGGACACAAAACACGTCTGCACAGCTCAGTGCACACGTGAGTCCGTTTGAGGACTTTTTAGATCTGCACAGCTAGAATAACGATGAAGCTAATGGATAGGTTGTGGTCTCAATAATTATCGTTTTTGTGTTCTTCTCATTTTGTTTGTTTATTGACAGATGACCATTCTCGCGTTATCCTGGGAAAAGAAGATGGCGATTCGAAATCTGACTACATCAACGCCAGTTACATTCCGGTTCGTATATTTCTGCGACTAGGGTGTTTAAACAAACAGGAAGACGACTGCAGTGAAAATATCGCTGAAAAAAT